AAGAAGAATTGTTTTTGCACTTTTCCACGATGCAATATTTAGTCCTACTTTTATTAAAATAAACAAACAACTGAACTTGAATGTTCTGCGGTGTACAATCCTGTGTTTATAATCTATATTAATTTGTCTACACATAAAACCACCCCTTAGAAATACGATCGCTCTATATACAAGTGTACAGTGTTAGATACGTAAACATATCGTGATATACACAACCGACCACTATTAATTAATTAATAGGGATAAGGGAGGTCGTTGCGTACATCTGAGTTAAACTTTACCTCTTCATTTTATTACTCTATGGCTAAGCTGCTCAACTATAAAATCTGGATTAAGATTTTATTTACTGAAGAATCAAACTCTCATAATTGATTTACAACTTCTTTAAAGAAAACTGTAATTTTCCTTGCGTGCTTTGTCATGTTTAACGCAAGTTATTTATTTGTTTACTGCATGTTATCTTGAATTAATCCAACTACCAATTCTTTTACTTTAATCCTAGAAATTATGTACACACCAAACCACAGACTACACAGACTGCTTATCTCCTTTCACAGGGTGGGCTACGTAGGCCTAAGTTGTCCCAGCACGACATTAGGGTTTCCACCGGAATTCCTGGTTACGGTTTACGTACGGAAATGATCCGTAAATTTTTTCCATTTCCATTATGGAAAAGGTTCCGGAAATCCGGAATTCCGGAACGATTTCCGGAACGATTTTTCCCGTAAACCGGAAATTTCCGGGACGTTGTTCTGGAATTACGGAACATTACGGAATAGAGTTCCGGAAAATTCCGGTTTACGGAACAATTGTTCCGGAAAACGTTGAAGACATCTTAAACTTATGTAAAAGATAAAACCAGTAAGTAATATCTACAGAATAATAGAATGTGCGCCTGGTGTAGCTGTAGTCATGTACAGCAATCCTTGAGTCTAATTAATGTTGTTGCAAAGGAAATAGGTTAAATAGTAACTTATAAAATCACTTTTAAATTGGTCTGTATACAGTATAGTATATACTACGTAATTGCCGTGTCGATCATGTTCATTGAACTATTTAGAGTCATAATTTAAGTCTAATAGTCGTCCTCCTATTCCAGAGTTTTCTGGTTCTCACTCTATTTATATACTTTGCTCGTCTGTTTGTTTGTCCATTTGTTTCCAATAAACGTCCAAACAGCTGAACCGACCGAGCCCAACATTTGTGAGGCAACTCACATGGCCCAAGGGAAAGTTTAAAACTAGTTAAAAATTTATGCGGGAAAAAACGTCGAAATTTATTATTTTTTAATTCACCAGTTTTTATAAACTCTTATTTATATGGTTCATTTCATCCCATCCTGATCAAATACGGAGGGGGAGGGGGGGCATAAGCCTATCCGATGACTCTCTTGAAAAATAAAAAAAATAATTTGTCAAAAAATATTGTGGGGAAAAGTGAACTGAAAACTGTAACTGTAAAATAGTCATGATGAACCATAGTGAAATATTTGTGAATATATAATTGTAGAACTAAATGCGTATTTAATGTATGTCAACTAATAAGTTTCAACTTTTAATGTTTTAACATTGCTTTCTATGTCTAAAATTGTGTTAAAATTTCCGGTTTACGAAATGGAAACTGGAAATTTTACGGTTTACTTTACGGAGGGAGGGGGTGCAGAGGCGCCATGATCCCCGCAAAAATGACCTCCGAACCTCAGGATTTGCAGAATTACCTCCAGGCCCCGCAAAACTGGTTTCCCAGCCTCAGTGACGTCACCAAGCCTCCCGCCATTCTGTCTCCACGCCCCGCATTTTGGCTCCAATAAAAATATTCGGCTTTTATTTCCACCAAGAATCTTTTTTTTTAAAAATTCTCAACATGATGAAATAGTTCAGAATGATACATTAACATTTTGTATTAAAAAGTGAATTTTAATTGAGATTAAAGGCTTGTATTTTGTTTTTCTAAATTTCTAAATTTCACAAATTCCTTAAATTGTGCAGAACTATTGCAGTTTTCTATAAAGATAGAAAAATGTTCTATTATTTTAGAGGGTTCTCATATACCAATCAAACAATATCAGCGGCAATTTACAAAACAAGTAGTTTTTGTGAAATCCTTGTATTTGTGATTTTATCATATGCTTTAGAAAATATTTAAGAACTATTTTTTTTAAATTGAAACAAAGAATTAAAATAATCTAAATATCTATTACATGCTATACTAACAGGTTAGGGGCAGCTTTGTGTCATATCTTGTTGTTTTAATAAGTTGAATTTAATTCTAAATAGTTTTCCTTTTCGCAGGAGAATTCATTTATTTGACTGAAAAAATTAATATACAGAGGTGGGGGGGGGGGGTGCGCAAAAACTCGTAGATTATAGAACAGATCCTCATTAATTTGCATTTTTATGATAAAATGTAATGCTGAGGAATCTAGAGTTAAGAAAATCTTCAAATCATGATGCCTTCAAAATATTAGATAAGTCGTCTATAAAGGTCGTCTTTTACTCATTCCATCTTAATGTAAACTTTTACAGAAAAACAACTCCAGAACAATTGAATGAATTAACATGTCAAATTTGTTGATTAGACGATTCTTTAAACTATGACGGAGTCTACTATGAAGAGATATATTTTGATATTTGTTTGGTTAAGCCAATAAATAAAAAAAAAAAACAAAAAAAAACAAGCGGAGACCAGAATGCGGGGCGTGGAGACAGAATGGCGGTAGGCTTGGTGACGTCACTGAGGCTGGGAGACCAGTTTTGCGGGGCCTGGAGGTAATTCTGCAAATCCTGAGGTTCGGAGATCATTTTTGCGGGGATCATGGCGCCTCTGCACCCCCTCCCTCCTTTACGTAAACCTGAAAAATTTCCGGTTTACGAAATGGAAACTGGAAATTTTACGGTTTACGTTACGTAAACCGGATAATGTTTGACGACTGTGTTTCGGATCAAAAGTATCCTTAAATGTTCCTGAATACAGATGTTTGCTGATTGGTCGTGTACAGTACTTGTACACAATAGAACATGCTGTGGAAAATATCGCCTATTTTAGCTGATAATCGATCTCTGTATCTGCAGCAAACTGATTTAAGCTTAACACATATAAATCAACATTCTAAAAAACTTTAAAGAATTTACAAAAAAGTTTGCAATTATGTATACCTGGGGAGGGGGGAAATTATTTTCGAAGATGGCAGAGGGGTGGGGTTGAAATGAAAATTCGACAAAATATCTAAGCTTTCTACTTTTTGAAACTAACTCAAAATTTAATCATTTCCCCTTAAAATTTTTCTTCTTCAGGATTAATTAAAAAATAAAAAAGCCTAAAAAAGTTTACATTTATATAAAGAAACTAAACACTAATCACAAAATTTTATTTTCCAAATCTTATATCTTTGCAAACTAATGGCGTAAGCCTTAAATATTTCAAATGTTTACCATTTAATCTAAGGAAATATCGAAGGTCTACGACATAATAAATAGACTAGAAAAAAGAATGAGAATAAACACACAACTGCAACTATGCAACAAATAAATACAGTTTGAATTTCACTCTAGAGGTGAATACTCATTATTAATTTTAAACCTGGAATTATTATTTATTTTTGCCCCGAACCAAATTACACAAATAAACATAATAGGTTTTATATAACAGGGCAATTGTATTAGTATTACAAATCAAATCCAATTGAAAAGTTAAGGAAGATATTGTTAAGAAATAAGTATATGAAAAGGAAAATCTGGCTTAATCTTCCATTTGAACTTTGGATTTCTATTTTCTAAATTTTTCCATTTTACGCAGAAAACTTTTAACATGTAAAAATGTGGGAAAAAACTTATAAAAGTTGTTCAGATGTTTTAGAAAATAAATAAATTATTTCTTTTTATTCAATCATTATGCTTCCTCTTTTTATGTTGCATCAATAACTAGTTGCTTAAAAATTGTAATTTGTAAAAAATATGAAAATAAAAAATACCCAATTAAAAAAAAATACATATGTAGTATAATTCTTTTTGAATAAAATGTGCAGTTAAAAACTCAAATATATATAAACAGTCTATAGGGTTGGCTGATTTATTAGCGACCTAGTTGTCAAGTTGATCGTCCTATTTGAAACCCTTGGAAGGTTCAGACTTTTTTTGCTCGCTTATATTTTTTTCGCGCCCATTTTTTCCAAAACAAATGTATAAAAGAGTCACTTGTAAGACTGAAAAAAAAATTCTTTTGATCCCCTATCATAAGATCCACGTCTTAAGACACTAAATTCAGAAAAGTCGATTTAAAATGGATTTGTTAATTAATGTCGTACACAGAATATTAACACTTTTTCATTTCCAGTTCTTTTCTTTAAAGGAATTAAAATTGCGTAGTCTTAAGATGGACATTCTCAATTCAGGGTAAACCTTAACCCTTAAGACTGATAATCGTGGACAGTAAACTCTCCTAAATGTTGAGTGAAACACCAAATTATTTGAGTGTACGCAAGCGTACACTCGAACAGAATTTTCAAAATTCAAATAAGAATATTTACATTCTGTCATCTCTACAAAGTATAAATATCAATATTTCATAAATATAAAATAACTTACAAACATAGTGTTCAATAATTAAAACGTTTTTGCAGATTAAAGATGAAAAGTTCGTCATCCTGGAGATAGAGCTGCTTGGACACTCTGCTGTCCTCATTTTCACCTGGAGAAAAAAAGTTGTAGGAATGTAAGACGGGATCAGAATTTGTCCCCCCCCTCCCTCCTTCCCCTCCCCTCACTCTATTTTTTTGCCCAACACTTTCATTGCCGTGAAATTTTTTTACTTTTCAGGAATAGTTATTTGTAATTTAAAGGATTTTTTGCAAACATTTCTTTAATGCATAGGGAAGGGTACACGGTAAAAATTAATGTTGGCAGCTTCCGCTTAATTTCAATGAGCTGGCCTTGAGAAATTGGGCTACGAGCATGCATGCTTTTCCAAATCCAATTTTCGCACAGATTTTTTTCTTGCCTCGATTTACTGCTTAGATAAAGTGATGATGGCGGTGGTCGTTACACCGCTATAGGGGCGATCTGATCCGGCAACACCCCTCATCCCTGAACAGGTTCATATTGTTGAAGGAGTCCGGGGCCAGGACCTGTAATAATTAATATTAGAGTATTTCATGTCAATGTAAGTAAAACAAGAGAACCTTCATACTTTATCAGACAAGGCTCAAAATGGTACTGTTGTGACTTGGACATATCATCATATTAAAATGGCGTCCTTCCCAACTGAACAGTCCCTTTAATGATTTTATGTTCCAAACTGAACAGTCCCTTTCATGATTTTATGTTCCAAACTTAACAGTCCCTTTAATGTTTTTATGTTCCAAACTGAACAGTCCCTTTAATGATTTTATGTTCCAAACTGAACAGTCCCTTTAATGATTTTATGTTCCAAACTGAACAGTCCCTTTAATGATTTTATGTTCCAAACTAAACAGTCCCTTCAATGTTTTTATGTTTCCCTTCTGTGCTACAAGTTAAAAATCGGCCAACAAAATTAAAATAAAAACCTTGTGTTAGGCTGCCACACATCGTTACTTGATTAACAAGAGAAGCCAGCTTGCAACTCTTCCCTGTTTTCTGCCACGATTGAATAGGCGGACCTAAAATATTTTTGTTCAACTTTAACAATTCCTAAGAGAGAGACTGGTTAATTAACATATTTAAACCGAGAGTGCAGAATCATAGAGAACAAATTTAGAATTCATTTGACACCATTCACACCATTGAGACGTTTTTACGATGTAAAATTTCTCAGGGTTTCTTTATTCTAATTCAAAAGACGACATTTAAATTCATAGAAACAGCAACGCGTGTCCTGGGAGTCCCGAGTTATAAAATAATTGTAAAAATCTTTCTTCTGCTGACCAAGTGACCACTTCTTCAATTCTGGTGAAATTTTACAAATGAATTTAGGCTCTTGCTTATAAATCATGCAAAGTGGTATCAAATAAATCCTAATATTTTTCTCCATAATACTGCAGTCCCATTTCAACTACAGTGTCTCCCACTAAACACGACAGTTGTCGTATAGTTTTGAATGTCTTCTTCCATATACTCTATTGGTTATTAAACTGTACGTTACCTAGTCAGTATCTTTCTTAAAAGAAGTGTCGAATATTTCGTCAAGAATTTATAGGAAATGGAAAGAAAGTGACAACCTAAAAACATAATTTGTTTTAATTGTTTTTACCGAGTTCTTACCAAAAACTTGATTGTTCTCATCTCCTTTTTTTTACGATCTTTTGATGCATACTTTAGATTTTTCAAACTTAGATTATTTTTAATAGAATTCATACAGTGAAACCCTAAATGAGCCATACATCGAAAGAATTTATCAAATGTCGTCTTGAAAATTTTTCAATGCTTTTTTTTTACTATTTTACGTAAATCCAAGTATTTGTGAGAAAAAAATAAATAGCCATTATTATGCAGGAACAGTTTTAAAGAGCTCCATAAAATCATTTAATTAAAAAACTAAATATCTGTAACATTCCATTATCAGAAAGGTAAGAGTACGACATTTGATGAATTCTTTCGATGTATGGCTTATTTAGGGTTTAACTGTAGTTTAGAAAAAGAAATAACTAAGGTCTATGAAAGTGGGTTGCAGAGTTTTAAGGATTAGAAAATCAGAGTTTGTGGCCAAAACTCATTTCTTTGAAGCAATTAATGAAGGAAAACACCCCCCCCCCCCCCTGATAGGGTTAGAATTATGTTGAATTACCATATGCCGGGAACCAGTGAATTTGCAAAGCAAATAATTATCAACTGAGGAACTGCATCCCCAGGTAAAGCTTTGTCCAGAAACTGCGGAGTCAGTCCCCTGAAAAAAAACACTATTTAAAAAATAAACTTTCAAGTGACTTTCCTTTATAAACGTGGGATTTCCGATCAATAAAGGTAACCTTTGAACCTTTAAATGACAAATGAATTTTTATTCTTGCTGAAAATTTCATATTTGGTTCCTCTGGTAAAAGTGACTGAGGGATCAGAGACAGTAAGAAAAATTGTCAGAATTCAACCCTTTTGAAGCAACTCCAAGAATGGAGAATCCCAAATTATGACGTTATCACTTTAAAAAATCTTCAAACCTGGCACTGGCACTCAAACTGGATTTTCTGGAGTTCTCACACGACCTCTTTGTGTCCATACCTAGATAAAATTCTTCAATTAAAGGCGAGTACTCCTCCTGAAGGTTTAACCGAGTGTGTGGGGGGAGGAGGGGTACATAAGTTGTTCAAAAGGGTGCCAAAATTTATTGAAATATTAAAAAAAATTACCAACCTTTCGTCGGAACTCGGTAACATTCTTCATGATTGTATAAGCTTCGGAGCTTAATTCCTGGTCCAGTGCATTATACTCCAGAATAGCAACAACTATATAAGTGTTGATCCAGTCATGTTCAAGCCTTTCAAGAAATATAGATTAATTTTTAGGTTTAGAGGTAAACACTTTATTTACAACGCATTCAATTTTTTCGTATTTAAGCATTATCTTATGTGGTGGGGTTTTGCTATCCTCTCTTAATAATTTTCCTAAACGTTCATTTATTTTAATAACAGATTAGGGTAACAAACGATTAGTAGGGGGGGGGGGGGGGGGGGGAGAGGGGAATCTTATTGGAAAAATTACCTTTACATTTACAAGATACATTCATATAAATAAATTTGTGTAAATATAATAAGTATAGGTTACATTAAAGCTGTTTCACAACCTCTCCGGTTGCCCTAATATATATACCGAGTGGTGTTTCGTCGGATTTGACAGCAAGCTGCTCTACTAGATCTCTCCATAATGAACTAATCAGGGTCAATCTTCAAGTTTTATTAGCACAACTTCAATCTATAAAACAATCATTATTATAGATCGAAAAATAGACAGGCTACAGAAAAAACTTTAAGTAATGAACATTTATCATATTTTTAGTTCGAGACAAACAAATTATTTTACTTAGGCATTAAAAAACTGCAGCAGACGAATATAATTTTTTGAAGTAAATATTAATAATAAACATCATAATGAATATATATAAGGAGACCTCACCACATTGCTCCATTGAGACACTACACAGGTAATTAAAAACGTTGAGACATATATGACGCATCACCTACAAAATCTTTGATAATACTGGTTGAACTTCTGTACGCTTACGCAGTACAGAAACCCAAAACCAGTTACAATATACAAAACTAGAAAATACAGGTGGTTCTAGATGCTTCTTTCCAAATTGGTTGTCAAGTACAATAGATGGCAACAGAAAAATCGACCAACTGCACACAACGTCATATGTATCAAATGAAAAAAGAAATACGACATGTCCTCTAATTAGTTGGTATAATTTCCAAGATTCGGTGGAGATAAATGTCGTCTTTGTAGGAATACGTAAAAAAATATTTAAAACCCAAAATTAGATGGAGTATTTTTACTGTCATTTGGAGGCTTAATTTTTTTTTTCACTGTATATCTATGTAAACTAAATAGTCTGAGGGAGGGGGGGGGAGGCGTCCAGGCCCCAGCCCTCTAATTAGCATTAAAATAAATATTTCTAGGGTTATTAAAGGTTTACTGTTCAATTTCTAAAGCCAGCTAATTTTTTTAAAAATTTAGACTTCTAACTTTTTGAAACACTCATACTTTATACGAATTTAACAAAAAATCATTTGGATTACCTTGTTTTAAAAGTGATGAAGTTTTGGTGGGTTAAACAATAATAAAAATACAAAAATATTTTTAACTATTTATTAAAATTGTTTTAAATTTCGTATCATGTGATGAACTTGTTTGTTTACTAAAACATCTAGATGCCTTATTCTTTGGTATTTTACAAAAAGGTTGATAATGGAGATCTTGGTTCTTTTACAGTTATTGATGGGATTGCAGAGGATAAGAGAAATTTCCTTGCAGGGGAGATTTCTGGAAGTTTCGAAAAAGTGCTCAAATTTGGCTGAAAATCAGACTTAGAAAAATGAAGAGCACACACTCGGCTATCTCTGATTTCATTAGTGTCGTCAATTTTCAAAGAATTCAGCCACAATTCCTGCTTCTTTTTATTCTTTGGAAATTTAAATCTGGATGTCCCAGGGGGTGGACGGCATCCAGGCACAAAACAAGTTCTTCGCCTGCCTCCTAAATGAAAAAAATATAATTAATGAAGACCAAAAATATTATTTAATTCATAATAATGTAATGTTGACTTAGTATAGTTTAAAGTCCCCCCCACCAACCTTGATGGATTTAAAATAAATAAAAAAAAATCTGGTTGTTTTTCATCAAAACAAATCACTCAGACATCCATATTGCGAAATTTAAATATAATATACATGTTATCTCACAAAACACTATGCAACAGATAACTTACATAAAATGTACGAAAATTTGCGATTTTTTTAGTTATTTATGAAAATATATGTAAAAAATCAAAATTTGAAAAATCTGGGAACTCAATTTTTCGGCTCATGCTCGATAATTAAAGAAGTGATTGTAATATAAAAAGAATGCCTGGAAATAACTGAAATATCGAGATTTCTAATGTTAACATGATTGTGAACATTTAATCAAAATTGTTGCCCCAAATTTTTGTTTGGGACACCCTGTTTATAATATATATCTACATAGACTTTCCAATAATTTCATAATTAAAGCACTTTTGAAAATTTTTATATATTCCCAAAAATAGTAAAATACGACATTTGAGAAAAAAATTAAATATCCTTAGAAGACGACATTTCATTAGAAAATTACCGTTTCTTGTTGCCTGTATTTCCCCTGGATCTGGGGGTTTATCCTCGATTAGACCTTTCCAGAGCACTTCTCCAAAGATATCATTAAACATTTCTGAAATATGTTTTAACGTTATACTTTCAAATTACAATGTTAAAGGGTTACGTACAATATCAGTTTCAACCCTGTTATTTAGTCTATAGAACGTTAAATGAAAAAGTGTAAAAACAGAAATAAAGAACACATAAAATTGCACTAATTTCACTAAAAGATAAGCACTTTAGTCTAAAAATATCACTTATTTATAGTTTTGTCAGACAGAAAATTTGAGTCGACACTTATGACGTTTAAACAGCTGTACTGAAAGTGTACGCATTCTGTGTTGCCGTCTATTGTACTTGACAACCTATTTGCTTCTTTCTTCTCGGAGCACACAAAGTTCAGGGGTAAATAAGGCGGTCGCACAGGGGCCATATACTGATTCTTATCGCCTTATGAGGATTCAAAACACAAGCAATACTAAATTGCATTTGAGGTATTAACAAAGAAAATAGGTTTAATAGTAAAAGTTATTAAATTAATAATTGAGTAAAATGGGTCTGTTTACGTGCACATTTGTTGTGCCTCATGAGAGGGAAGGCACACCAATGAGGGAGGGAGTCCAGAGTTCCTCAAATAGTAATCACCGCCACCCAAATCTGTGTTGCGGCAAGCGCGCTCCTCAATTGGTAATCTCCACCACCTCAATTAGTAATCATCTTTTTTGGGCTGATTACTATTTGAGGTGGTGGAGATTACCAATTGAGGAGCCCGCTTGCCGCAAAACAGATTTGGGTGTCGGTGATTACTATTTGAGGAACTCTGGACTCCCTCCCTCCACCAATTGTGCAGTGTAAACAATTTACCATTATTTAGTCCGATCACACCTTTCTTTCGTCCAATAAAATTAAATTAGGAGTGCGTATATGTATACCATAATTGCTCTAGGCCCTAGAGAGACAGATCCCAGCTGTGAATACCTGAGGTCCACAAAGCTATGAGCCTGATCTAAGCTGTGAATATGTGAGTTGCTTAAGGCTGAAGGCTGATCTAAGCTGTGAATACCTGAGTTCCACAAAGCTATGAATGAGACTGATCCCAGTTGTGAATACCTGAGTTCCTCAAGACTAGAGACTGATCCCAGTTGTGAATACCCGAGTTCCTCAAGACTAGAGGCTGTTCCTGGCTGGGAGTACCAGACAGAATCGTCTGCTCCGGTACAGCTATTTTATCACTTATTTCCAGTGAGTATTTTCTGAACAATTTATAACCTAATTTGAATATCACATTTCAAAGCTTCAATTATAACAAGTCAACTTAAGCAACTGAATTCCACAATAAGCATTAAGACGTTTTATCTTGGGTTTTGTAAGTACTGTTCAAACTTTCGAGCTTAAAATCCAGCTATTTCTGCAAATCCTGGATTATCACAAGTAATGACCGGACATCTAATTTAAGACAACTTATTAAACTTTTTACAATGTACAATTTTATACATGCAGTACAAATGTGTAAAAAAACCCAAATTGTCGTTTAACTTTTTATTTGAATCTAGAATTTCAATTTTCTTTGGGCATCTTTACAATCAAAGTTTCGTTATATTAACGAGATTATAAGTCTGACAAGTTCACATCAGTTTTTAATTTTCTGACACGTTTCGTATATAAATTAGATAGATCTGAGCACAATTAAATATAAATAAAGCTCCGGAATATATGTATATATATATAGAGATCATAACCATGGCCGTTAGAACTGAGATTCTGATTAACTAGAGTTATAAGTTTATGAGTTACAAGTTTATATCTAGGTCTGGCCAGCCGTTAGAACGTAGTTAGTCTCCAAACTTGACTCCAATACAAGTTTTGAAGATAACAGCCTCAGACCCTCCGCCAGGCAACATTCCTGCAATAGTAAATTCAAAAACAATTGCATAATGCACAATTGCTATCATTATACCTTATTTTATGGACTTTTTTACCATCTTTCTCTTAGGGTGAGCAAAAGGAAATATAAAATAGAAGGCCCCCCAAATTCAATTCTCCATTGCTCACAGTTCAAATATAATAGTTACTGGCGAGATTATATATCTGACAAGTTATAATTCTGACAAGTATATTTCAATGAAATTCAAGTAAAGCTCAAATGATAATACCAGTAGTTTTTTGATAGGTGATATAAAATTTTTACAGTGGAGAAATAAATTGTTTCTTATTTTTTTCTCTTATGAAGTTTAAACTGAACAACCGTTTTTCAATTCTTTGATAGTAAGCAATACTTGAACTAGAATTCAAGGTAAATAAAGATAGAATAGACTAGTATTTACAGGAATTCAAGAGAACTAGACTAGTATTTACAGGAATTCAATAGAACTAGTATTCACATGAATTCAAGATTAAGATTAGACTAGTATTTACAGGAATTCAAGAGAACTAGTATTCACATGAATTCAAGACATCAACGCCCATTTATTGTTAGTTACCCTTAACTGTTTAATCTTTATTAACAATCATTATTTATACACATGCACGTAAATAACAATTTGTATTTTGTTGTAGGAAACCTTCGTTACTGAAATATACATTTTCAAGAAGTTGTTCTCATCTATGTATGTATGGCCAGTAGAAAAGAGTGTTTCCCTAGCCAATTCGCCTTATTTCCCTCTTTCTAGTATTATTCCTTTTGTTCGGCTCACAATATTGCAGCAAAATCAGTAAGTCTTCGGTAAATGTTTGGGACCTGTGCCCGATTAAATTTTCCTGAACTTCTGACTTTTATCCAGCTACACATAAAAAAATAATGAATCCTATGCATAGGTTTACATGTCTACCATGAAATGAATAAATGTCTGCGTTCTTCGATTTCACATTTGTTTTAATTGTAATTTCCAAAATCCTTGTAAAAAAAGATATACTTAGATCAGATTCTTTTAGACCAAAAGGATTCAAGATTGATTTCCTATTCACCGGTAATGGAAAACAATGAATAATTGTTTTCTTAAGAACTTTACATAAAAAATGCAAAAACTTTCTTGAAATTGCGTTTTCGCAAAAATTAATTTAACAAAAACGATGCGAAATTCCCCCAAAATGTTTTTTGCTCGCGAAAAAAAAAATTTCGCAGAAACCATAATTAAAAAAAGTCTTATGGAATTATGGAATTCTCTGCTTTGAAAGCTCAGCATTAGAAGTTTTATTGTATAATAATTAATAATTTTCTTCCTTTACTTTGAATGTTGGATGAAAAGAATTTGATCCAGTGCTTAGGATCCATTTAATTTTGTTACAGGTCAATTCTTTAAGATTTACTGAATTTTATTTACAAGATAATTTTCAAATTTTTTGCTTTATTATTTTTGCATATTTTTATCCTAAAACTAGATGAACCATTCAGAAATGAGGAAATTTTTAGAATTTCAGTTTTTGGCTGATATTTTACCCCTTGGATCCGGATCCGTGGATCCGCATATTTCTGGATCCGGATCCAGGAAGCCAAAATCTTGCGGATCCAACGGAACTAAATGACTCTCAAATCTCAAAGTAAAGTTTAGTTCACAATGCTCCATTTTCTCTCTAAAAAGAACGGGAGGGGGTATGCATAAATGTTAAGATTTAGGGTTTAGGTAGATTTTAAAAAATACAAAAAGTAGGTCGGAAAACTCGATAGATTACCTAATTTTCAGTGCGTACTTTTTTTGCAAAAATGTTGCCTTTTTTTGCGAAACAGATTGAAGCAAAATTTTTGTTAAAAAAACGAAAATTTTGCGTTTATTATCAACGATAAAAATTGCAAAAAAAAAAATTGTGAAACAAACCCCGTGATATATACGCAAATATATTGTTCCTCTTTTTTCTGAAAACCACTGTTTTCATTGTTTAAAGTACCACTGTTTGAAGTATGGAAAACCATTGTTTGAAGTATGGAAAACCACTGTTTGAAGTATGGAAAACCATTGTTTGAAGCATGGAAAACCATTGTTTGAAGTATGGAAAACCATTGTTTGAAGTATGGAAAACCACTGTTTAAAGTATGGAAAACCATTGTTTGAAGTATGGAAAACCATTGTTTGAAGTATGGAAAACCATTGTTTGAAGTATGGAAAACCATCGTTTGAAGTATGGAAAACCACTGTCTGAAGAATGGAAAACCATTGTTGAAGTATGGAAAACCACTGCTTGAAGTATGGAAAACCACTGTTTGAAGCAAGGAGATATTGAATAGAAGGAGGGGGCGATAGGGTTTCCGTATACTTTGCTGTGACGTTTTTGGATTGCTGAAGAACTAGTTTTTGCGTAACAACAATAATAAAGATTGTAACAATAACACAAATAATAAACAGACATCTAGGGGGGGGGGGGCAGGATAACCTTGAATTTGATTGAAATTGTCTCTGTAATAAGGTCAAAGAGAATAGAATATGTATTAGAGGGGAATTTACTAGAAAAAAGTGTAAAACGGCCATTTTGTTGTACTGTTTCCATATTGCAGGTGTACTTCACATATTTATGCTATATAACCTTTAGGGCCCTGGAATATCATTTTATAGAAAATCTAAAATTAATGTTAGAAGAAAATCAAATTATGAAATAGGCTGGTTTCATAATTGACCAATGATCATTTCACTTTACAAACGATTATTTTCCGTTGTAACTATAAATCAAATGATGTTTTTTATTCACCTAATTCATTACAAAGTTTATTTAACAGCTTAAAAAAATTCGAAATTTAAATGTCTAAGGAACATACTGTATTAATGTACTCTACTGCATATAATTTGTGCATTTACATGATTTGTACACTTTGAACTCCCTTTCAGGCTGAAAGGGACTGAAAAAATTCATACGGAGAGATTCTCTAAATTCCCCTCTAATATATATTCTATTCTCTATGAATAAGGTCCTTTTCGGTATAAAACTAAAATCCTTAACTTTTTTAATATTTTTTAACAAGATTTATAATACTACTTTCACAGTTTACTAACTCATGTTTGTTAACATTAGATCGGCTGCCTTTATTATTGTTAAGCAAAAACAAGTTCTTCAGCAGTCCAAAAACGTCACAGCAAAGTGTACGGAAACGTCCTATCGCCCGCTCCTATTCAATATCTCCTTGGTTTGAAGTATGGAAAATGGTCATACTATTGGCTCAAAACCCGACACTATTTGCTGATTTCTAATAATAAATCATTTACTTTTCACAGAGCAAAACATTTATGTCGGATATTCGGCTTAGCTCGGAAGATTTAGACTTCAATATTCCCGGATGAAATCCCGTCATCTTTCAAGCATGTCCAATAGATAACGAATTAAGTCACTGAATTCCTAAGCTTAACCCAATTTACAACACAAATTCCCAGGTATGGTTTCAGATATAAGTTTTTATTTACAATTGTATACCTTTACCTTGGACCGTCAGCTCTACTTGGGCTTCATTAGAAAAATATAAGAGATTGTTCTCCAATGCCGGGCTGGAGTAGATTTCATAAAACTTGTAATATCCACGCCGCCGATATCAATATTCTATAAAGCAAAAGTAGATGTAATAAAATATAAAATACTAGCTGAAGTGCCTGGCGTTGCCCGTGGAATTTTAGAAACAATTAAAAAAAACTTTTGCTGTAAGTTAAAATATATATAATGCACTGAGGAAAGAAAATTATGTTAAAAAATAATATAAATTTCCTCACCTAACTTTTCCCTTTCCCAATTTATATTAAACTGAGTAAACTATGCGATATTCTGCGCGCATAGTAAACTAGAGAAAGCTTTGAATGCGTGTCAACTTTGTACCGGAAGCTTGGATCACAAAACCTCTCAATCCTATTCTAATTGTACAAATCCATTCATCCCGCAGAACAGGTCACTTTATTAAAGATCGACTATCCCTTTACCACGGTCAAATTATAGAAACAACAATTAAATTTATACTTATAAGTATTAAAAAAGTTCCAGTGATGATTTTATTTCTTCCTCAAATCTTGAAATATCACTTTTCAAAATGAATCCCCCTTGCTTATCATATGTTTTATATAGTACAGCTTGACCAAAATGGTTGAAAATTTTTAAAGGAACTCATTGTACGTCAGTTAGTATGTACAGATACAAAATACTTGTGTTAAAAATAAAATGTTAAAGCTAGGAACTAAGGAAGTAAAAAAACACATTTAAAAAAAATAATTTCTAAAAATGATTGATATTCATTTATGAAAGGTTTATTTAGCTCTGAATTTTCATCCATTTTTCTAAAAAAAAAAAACATTTTAGTCAGATTTCTGGTTACATTTTACACTACTTAGTCCGGGAAAGTTTTGCAAAACTCAGAAAATAAGCATATGTCCCAGTGGATAGGATCTGAGTTGAACCTTCTTCTTCTCTCCACCTGTTTCCTCCAACCCTCTTCTGACCTTCTTCCTCCTTTCCTCGTCCTTCTCCTCTTACTACCAACACCTCCAACACCACCTTTGACTCCTCCCACTCTTCTTCCATGTCCTTCTCCGAATCCTTCCCCTTGTGTTCCTTCCTGTCTTCCTACAAATCCTTCTCCATGTCTTCCTCTAAATTCTTCTCCATGCCCTATTCTGCGCTCCTCTCTGTCTCCCTCCAAATTCTTCTCCTTGTTCTCTTCTGTGAACCCTATTCTGTGATCCTCCCTGTAATTCTCCAAATCCTTCACCCTCTGCTCTTCTCTGCACCCTATTCTGTGCTCCTCTTTTTCTTCCTCCAAATCCTTCTCCTTCTCCTCTTCTCAGTGCCCTATTCTGTGCTCCTCCCTGTCTTCCTCTAAATCCTTCTCCCTGTCTTCCTCCAAATCCTTCTCCCTGTCTTCCTCCAAATCCATATCCTCTTCTCTGTGCTCCTCCTTGTCTTCCTCTATGTTCACCTATTTTTCTTTCTGTTTGTGCTCCTTGCATTACTTCTGCAAACTGTTGTTTAGGAACTGAGGTACTCTGTAGGCAAGGAACTTGGACAGGGGGCGGGGGAAGCTGTTGGCAAGGAACTTGGACAGGGGGCAGGGATAGCTATTGGTTAACTAGGGAAAGAAGAAGATTCGCCATTTTTTATGTTTGTGTTAACGGTTCAGATTGACAGGTTTGACATATTGTCTAAAGGGTAGAATTCCCAGTTAACCAGTCATCTGGAGCTCACACACACACGTCTGCTCGGGTTGACCGACTATACTAGACTAAATAATTTTCTAAAACAAAACTTTTAAAATTTTAATATTAATATTGTAAATATCTTGTTTGTAAGATGTCTATAAATGCGGGAAAATCGTTTATTCCAATCAACAAATAAAATGTGGAAACATGGATTCTTTAAAATATTCGAGAGTAAAATTATTCTTTATTGTTTTCAAGGATTTATTTCGCAAGTCTTAAAATGGAGTTTTGTTTAGATCTGCGGAATTATGAAAGTGAGGTTTGTGCCAAAACATGACAATGATTCGAATTCTTGATTTGTTCGAAAATAGTAATAGAAAATCTTGAAAAAGCAGCATGTTTTTTACTATTTTGTTTAGATTTTACTTCATAAAAAAAATATATTTTTTTACCTAAATGCCTCAAAAATTTAGATTGTTATGAATTTAAGTAAATGTTTCGAAATCAGGATACGTTTCAATACGCAACATAAACTGAAATGCTGCAATTGTTTCAAAATAAGTACATTTTCGAACTTTAAATCAAGTTTCATCAAAAACTAATTCTTATGCCTCGTTATTAGTAAAACGTTGACATTTTCGGATGCAATAAATATTATTTTCCTTTTTTATAACATATATTTTTTTTATGCAGTCGTTTTTTCTACTCGGCTTAAATAAAACTATATATTCTTATGATTGAAAGCATAATTCTCGGTGTTGGAAATGGACAAAATCGAGGTTTTAAACCAATGTACCCTTACTCCTGAGTACTTAACAACAACAAAATATTTAAATTTCAATGGTGTTAAACAGAACGAAATTTCTTTGGGTCCTGACTCCCTGGTAGCTTTATTTTTTTTTTTTAAATCAGATAATATCTGATAATATAATAACCTGCGTGAAGTTGTGCGCGCGCGCAATTATTTTAACGATTTTCAATATTTTTTCTTAATCGTTTTGTAATTAGATTTGTTCTAAAACATGGGGCATTGATAAGGTTCAAGAACTTTTTAATCAAACAATGAGATTTGATTTCATATAGTCTTAAAAAAGAGATGTGGTGGTACGCTACCTTTCATTTCAATGATTCAAGTTTTAACTTCTTTCTGAACATTTACAGAAGAAGTAGCTTCCTAAGTTTCTTCCTTGATGGGGGTTCCTTCTTCTTTTAAATTATCTCACATGGCTTCTTCTGATAAGACAAAAAATTTATCAAATTAAAAAATTTAAAGATATAAATGAAAAATGAGAGAAAAATAATACCATTTAAAGATTAACTCAAATGGTATTAAGCAAAACTTGTAACATTTGTCTAAATTTTGTACATTTTTTCACATTACATTATACAATTTTATTTGCTAACTATGTATAGGAAAAAGTTTTAAATTTGAATTATTTTAGCGTTTTGATTTTATTCTTGAAAATAACAGAAGGAACGTTTTTATCTTATAGGCTAGAGCTGGCATGGTCAAATCCATCTTTATTCAACCTTGTTCTATACTTGTTTTAGAATAGGAACTTACAACTGGACACATTAAACTCCTTGCTGGGACAAATTTCAACAGTCTTAAATTACAATTTTTGCTTTTTCCCCTATTTTCACTTCACTTAAAATCTACAAACTATACTAAGAACATTTCTTTGGTTCTCCCGAGTTCCCAAATCAAACTATGAGGCAGATCGGTCCAGGGGTTCATGAGTTATGATAGGACATACTAACAAACAAACAGAGATTACTACTTGATATAAATATAGATATTGAGGCACCTGCACATCTCCTTCAACCCCTGAAACAAAAAATACAATATCACTAAAGAAATTTACTGGAATAGTAACGCTTTAGAATTTACATATAAATTATTATATACTTCTTTCACTTATTCTGCTTCTGCCTATGAGAACGAAAAATGTGGCAATTCATAAGTAAAAAAGCAGTTTTTAATAAAAAATATTGCAAGTAGAGCTGTTACAAAATAAAAACACTTTACAGTCTACTATTATTACAGTTACTCAAGACTATTTCCTCCTTCAAAAAAACTTTCCACATAACGGGTATAATACAAGATTTTTTCTTATATCTCAGTTTCAAGATTCTACAGCTTCTTATCCTATTTCTCTTAAATCTCAGTTTCAATATTCTCCAGTTTCTTATCCTATTTCTCTTATATCTGAGTTTCAATATACTTCAATTTCTTATCCTATTTCTCTTATATCTCAGTGTCTAGATTCTACAGCTTCTTATCCTGTTTCTCTTACAGCTCAGTTTCAAGATTCTCCAGTTTCTTATCATATTTCTCTTATATCTCAGTTTCAAGATTCTCCAGTTTCTTATCCTATTTCTCTTATCTCTCAGTTTCAATATTCTCCAGTTTCTTATCCTACTTCTCGTATATCTCAGTTTCTAGATTCTCCAGTTTCTTATCCTATTTATCTTAAATCTCAGTGTCTAGATTCTTCAGTTTCTTATCCTATTTTTCTAATATCTCAGTTTCAAGATTTTCCAGTTTCTTGTCCTATTTTTCTTATATCTCAGTTTCAAGATTTTCCAGTTTCTTTCCTATTATTCTTATATCTCAGTTTCAAGATTTTCCAGTTTCTTATCCTATTTTTCTTATATCTCAGTTTCAAGATTATCCAGTTTCTTATCCTAATTTCTTATATCTCAGTTTCAAGATTTTGCAGTTTCTTATCCTATTTTTCTTATATCTCAGTTTCAAGATTTTCCAGTTTCCTATCCTAATTTTCTTATATCTCAGACTCAAGATTCTCCAGTTTCTTAACCTTATATCTCAGTGTCTAGATTCTCCAGTTTATCATACTTCTCTAATATTTCCATTTCTAGATTCTCCAGCTTCTTATCATATTCCCCTTAAATTCCAGTTTCTAGATTCTCCAGTTTCTTCTATTCCTTATAAATCTCAGTTTCTAGATTCTCCAATTTCCCATTCCTCATATCTCACAATTTCTCAGTTCCTATCTCCCAGTTTCTATAATAGATAAATATATGCATTTAGGAAACAACAAAATTACGAGTAAATAAATGATTGAATTCATCCGGAGTTGTCGGGAATCAAGTTCTCTGCCTGGAACTGTGACGTAGGCACTGTACAATAGCAATTTAGATGAAATTAAGAGTGTTAATAACAAAAAGAAAGAAGAACTACTAATTTCGAAGGATTTGGGATGGGAGGCATGAATGAGACAAGCAAAACTTGGTATTGAGAAAAATCAAAGTAAAGAGGAAGATTAATGGATGAGAAAGGATCAGAAGAATCAGAACTCATAATAAAACGATTTGAGACTTTTAAACAAAATTTAAGTTTTAAATCTAATGACGAACAGTATAAATCATATTGAACTAGAAAAAATATCACAAAATAAAAACGAAGAGAACATTTAAATGATATTAAATGATCACACAAGAAGGTTAAGTTTGTATACATAAATATTAAATTTAAATTAAGCATAACGATGCATAGTGTTTTCTCAAAATGGGAGACTTATATTTGCCCCATTGTACAGCTGCCTTTTAGTTATTTTAACATGTATTCTAAATATATTATAAATTACATATCACATTGAAACAGAGCCTAAAATAAATATTAAACCGTATGTTTCAAACTAAGACTTCTGCATAGATCAAATAATACATGCTTGATATAACAAAGGTTTACACTTTATACCATCAGGTTGAATATAAATATATTTATAAATATGAAATACAAAATTAGTTTCTGAGGAGAGTGAAAACCCGATATCGTAAACCTTGGATATTTCAAACTGTAAATTCTGTTAGATCAAAAAGTCAAAGTTTAAAATATCATATGTTTGCACCATCAGGTTGCAAGATGTAGGGATTAGAAAATTTGAGTTTGTGGCATAAACTCGGTTACTTCAATTAGTTCTGGTTTGCAAGCGGAGAGAAGAACTGTGTTAGCCTGGAATCTCCTCCTGTTCTATTCAACCCTGATCCATAAACCATTTGTAGATTCATATCTCCCTCTCTACCTCCTTCTACTCCTCCACGGTGCAATGTGAACCCTTCCTCCCTCCCAACCTGAGTGTTTAAACCCTGAACACCTATTGCATGTACACCTAGAGCTCCGTGTTTACTCTCATGAAGATGATTAGCTCCCAGTATCCCTACACCAGACTGCTCCCGGGGCTCTAGACCTGCCAGCGTAAAATGCCTGGCTTCAAGATTTAAAAACTCTTGTTGAGCCAACCCTGCTCTGTTCAGCTCATGGAGCTCCAGTCCCCTTCTCTCCGCTCCGGGCTGAACATGGATATCTTCTCCGATCTTGAAGGGTTTTGGTTTACTTGGTTTCTGAGCGGGGTGGGAGGCACGCTCATGCTTTCTTAAACCTTTCTTAGAGAAGTACGCGCTCCCACACAGTTCACAAACATGGTCGCGCACACCTAAAAGAAAAAAAACCATAAGGTTAACAATTTAACTATTTAAAAACCATAAGGTTAACAATTTAACTATTAAAAACCATAAGGTTAACAATTTAACTATTAAAAACCATAAGGTTAACAATTTAACTATTTAAAAACCAAAACATATTAACCACAAATTAAAAAGGAAGTTTTATCGCTTATAGACTCTCATTATAATAATCGCTTTATCCTTGATATTAGGCTTAAGCTCTTGTCCCATTCATCCATCGTCAATATTTTCAGTACAGTTTAGATATAATTTTAAAATGACTTTTCTTTTATTTTAATTTGGATAAAATATTATTTTAATATTAAAACTTAAGAACTTAAAAATATTTATAAAATTCTTGAAAACTATAAGAAAATTGGCTATTACGACCAATGATTATTTAAAATAATGAGTTTTTTTGTAAAAGTAAGAGTATATTGTGAATCATCCAGTATTTTGTATCTGTGCTCTACCTGAATGTGTTTTACAATGATTCTCAAAATCTTGTTTAGCCCTGGAAGGATATTTTTTTCCACAATCAGCGCACTGGAAGGCCATCTCACTTTCTTCAGCATGCACTACACGCCTAGATAATTTTATTTAATTTAAAAGAGCAAACATCTTGCATTTTTAATTTTTTCAGGATTCCAGAAACAAAAAAATACACAAATTAAAAAAAAATTATCATATTAATTTCAGCAAAGCCGGGATTTTACAAAGGAACTCATAACTCATACAAACTCATTTTCTGTAACCCTCGTACCTTTGAAATATTATATTACAGACTTTTTTAAAATTTTTTAATTTCTTTAAATAAAACAGTGATGAAATCTTTGAAATATCAAACGTTTGTATCAACAAGTTGCAGGGATTGGAAAATTATAGCTTTTAGACGACTGTAGATTTTGAACACCCATTCCTTGTGTTAAAATATGTGATTTTTACTTGTTTGTTTGTTTCCAGTTTCTATTCACAATATTATATTTCTTTTTACCATCATAAAACTAAAAATAAATAAGCATTTGCATGTAATCCCACCAAAAATAGATAAAATGAAATGCACCAAATCTACAAGAATATTAGTGGCAAGAGATAGAAGTTTAGCTTTCAGTTAATGTTTTTAAAATCTACTTAATCTGAGCTGAAAACTTTTGAATGTAATATCCTTAATCCCGATCGGTTAATTAATCTGGAGATTAATAAAAAGGGGAGAACAAGTATTATTAAATCTGGAGATAAAGAAAACGAGGAGATCAAGCATTAATCTCGATATCCTCCATTCGAAAGTTTTCAGCACTGATTTAATATCGATCCTTACCTGTGTCTTATACTAGCCGTCTGAGACCCAAAAGTAGCTCCACAAAGATTACATGAAAATGGTTTCTCTCCTAAAAAGTATTGTTTCAGTTAGAAAATTAAATGTTTTACATTTTCGCGTTAACTTCACCGTTTAGAAAATTAACTGAATGTTCCCTAATCTCTACAGGGGGGAGGCAAGGGGGGTAGAGACAAAGAAGACTCCTAACAGGGGCTATTTTTAAAAATATCTTTGCTGGAACAAAAAATTTTTGAGAGTAAACGAATGACTTTGAGAAAATAACTGTTTAAAAAAGTTAATGTTAGTGGGAAGCTGTGTACTTATTATTCATTAATTTATTCAGAGAAAATCAATATTTTTTCCCAAAATCAAATAAAATTTAAGAAGATTAATGTTTTTAACATACTAAGTTAAATCGACGGCTTGAAACTCTTCAGATTTTATGATTGATTGCCTTGAATGACTATAGTCGGTTAATGGCTAATTCGATGATTTGGTAAAGATAAAAAGAAGTTTATAGTTGCAGGGAATCATGAACATTGAACATAAGAAAAAATATAGCAAGGATATAATGCAAGGAAAGTTATTTCAGAGGTGTACGAATCTTTTGTACTGCAGTGTACTGTCTCTGGACGGTAATGTAAGCACAAGACGGATGTCAAAGCCTTACATGGGATCCATCTTTTACAAAAAAAAAAATCAATGAAATATTCTGGTCATAGGAAACTATTATGTGAATTATTAAAATTATCAAAATTTAATGCTTTTAACCTCCTTGGATACTAAACGAACACTGATGCATCTATTCTTGTTTACAAATTCCGCCCAAAGAGAACTGGTTTCAATGTGTACGCAGAGTATACACGACCGCAATTAACTTTCCTTGCATTACACCGTTGATCTGAAGTCTCATCCCCTGTGGATAACCCTGAATATTACCTGTTTTGTGGCAAAGTTATTTCCACATTCCTCACAGACAAATTTAGAATTATCTTCCAGATGAGCAGTTCGTCTTAATAATGAAATAGTTAATTCGAAATTAAAATAATATTTTGATAAAGCTGAGTCCGAATTTAATGAATTTAAGCCGCGTCTCAAATCCGCTAATAACCGGTTTCAACTAATCGCCGGCTTAAATGTTGAAACATTGAATACTATTCATAGTGGAACCAACCATATTTGAGCCGCGTCTCAAATTTAAGCCGCGGCTCAAGTTCCTTAAATTCGGCCTCTGGACCCCTAGATCTTTAAAAAAATTACATTTAAATAGACCTAATTTTTGTTTTACGGCCAAAAACAATTGCTTGAAAACCAACTTATTAAGTTAAATGAGTTTGTACAAGTGCTTTATGTTGATTGGACTATTTGAATTTGAAATAATAACTCGAGTCTAACAGTCGTCCTCTTATTCCACATCTTTAAGGGTCCCAATGTACTTAAGTTTAACCTTTATAAATTCTCTTACTTATGATTGCCAAATGTTACATAGTTCTCTGATGTATAAGCGCATTTTTCACATTGATACAACACTGTACCCTTCATATGCTCTTGCTGAGTGTGGATCATTAAACCCCGCGAATTTCTGTTGAAAAATCCGCAAACTCTGAAAATAAAAACTTAAAATGACAGCTGTACGTTTGGTGAAAAGAAGTAACAAATGGGTGTTTTATGTTATTTATCAAAGTTTAAATTTTTTAGATTATATTTAGTTCAAAGAAACTGAGTTTTTGCCACAACCTCTAATTTTAAAAACCCCATATATCTTTGCTACCCGATGTTGTAGACCCATTGATGTCTCAAACTATGAATTCTGTTTGATCAAATAGTCTTAAGTTTGAATTATGAAAGGTTTACACTTTCAGGTTCGAAAGACATAGGACAAAAAAATATGAATTTGTGGCAAAAAATATCTGTTAACTTTTTAAACTTTGCTGGCTTTATAATAAAGATAAAGAGCTAACTTATAACTCAGATTTTAGTGAAGCACTTAATAGCAAAAAAAAACCTTGAATGTTTAAGAATGAGGAAATGATGCTTAAAAATTACAAAATAAAAGTTAACTAAATTGTTTATAATAAAAATATTGAAAATATCCAACCTACAAATATAAGTTGACTTCTGTCCATGATTATTATCACTGTGGGTTATTAACATATCAGCTGAGAAACAGGCAAGACCACAGAGTATACAAATATAGGAGTCAGGGTGACCAGTTCTCTCATGGTCAACTAAACTCAGAAACCTGAACACAGAGTATAAAGATATAGGAGTCAGGGTGACCAGTTCTCTCATGGTCAACTAAACTCAGAAACCTGAACACAGAGTATAAAGATATAGGAGTCAGGGTGACCAGTTCTCTCATAATCAACTAAACTCAGAAACCTGAACACAGAGTATATAGATATAGGAGTCAGGGTGACCAGTTCTCCCATGATCAAATAAACTCAAAAACCTGAACACAGAGTATATAGATATAAGAGTGAAGGTAACCAGTTCTCTCATGATCAACTAAAATCAGAAACCTGAACACAGAGAATACAAATATAGGAGTCAAGGTAAACAGTTCTAAAATATTGAAATGTAACAATTAAATCTAAGAAAACTACATTAATCTCAAAATTGCTTGATCAAATCTTAGAATATTCATGCAAAATATCCGCATAAGTGACCCCATCCCATCTCCCTCCTCCTACCAAAACCTTTCTACGATACCTTTCAAATGTAAGGTTACACCCCTGCAGTCCACATTGAAATTGATCTCTTAGATCTCCTTGGTCATTCAATCTCTCGTGTAAGGTCCTTAAACAATGCAAATGTCATTCAGATTGGAGGTTGATTCCTTTTCGAGTCCGGAGCTGGAAACTCATGTATTGTGGATATCGAGATCAATTTTATTTCTTGATTTGAAGATTAATTTAATCCTTATTTTATATCCTGGAAAGTGTCCAAAATTCAACCAACCAATGTGTCGTTCTGAGAAACCGAACAGCCAATCAGAAGCCGGGAAGTTTTGCACTCGATCAATGAGAGAACCCCGCAGGGATATCCGTAAAGAGGATTAAGCAGAAAATCAAAGTGCCCGCAGTGGATATCGAGATGAAGCGAACGGGATTAAGGGCATCCAACACAAGAGTTTCCAGTTCTGTTTTATACATTGTATATATACCTAATAGGTCCTAGTCGGACGGGTTCAACCGGACATATCTCCGGGAGATCAGGATGCTCTCTTTTACAGTGATTAAACAGATGCTTGACTGTAGCAAATACTTTTCCACACTCCTTACATGAACCTTCAATATTCTTCTCGTCTTGGTTATCCTCTTCTATATTGCTATTAGTCTGAAACAGTATAACATTAAGGGACTGACGACTGTTAGCCGTAATATTAAAGTATCCTCCATTATTAGAGAGTTGCATGTGAGATTAACAAAGGTGCATTACAACCTTTATCTGAGCAATGGTAAGTACTATATAAAAGAACTGATAAAAAATAATTTTTATTCGATTTTGGGAGAATGTCTCAATAAGATTAAATTGAATAAATCTATACATCCAACCACCTTGTGGTATCAAACAAACCAAAAAAGTAAAAATCTCGACAAAAAACATTTCGTCCCGCATAATAACACAGGGCAGTGGCATAAATAGATATAATTCCTAAAACAAACTCGTCATAGGATCAAGAATTGATAAAAATAGAGAAATAACTTCTTGTATGCCCAGGTTTAAGTTAAAAGAAGTGATTTGACCTATTATAAGAACTTCCCGTTCTGCATTACATGTGCTGCTACCTATTTTTAACAAAAACTTTTTTGTGCCTACATTCAAAAATGTAAATAAAAGTTTATAACTCTAAAAATCTACAATTTTTAACTAGCTCAAATTTGTAATCTAGAAATAATAAGAAGAATAAAAATATAAATAAGTATAAAAAGTTAGAAAACAAGTTTTAAGTGTGTTTTTAAAATTAAGGAGATAATCAATTTTCGAGTAATATCAAAATTAAGAAAAAAATGAAAAATTATAACCTGTCGATTTTGTTGAGAGGATTTGTCCGTAGTACAGTCTGGATGATGTTGGGCGTAATGTTTCCGTTCACTGCTCAACCCACTAAATAGTTGATCGTTAAATTCAATTGTTTAGAATCTAATTGAATTTGATTTTACAGAGAAAATTAAATTAATTATTTTCTTAAGTTGCACTTAAACTTATTATGTGTGGACTATGAGTGTTAGGCTGAGAACTCTTGTATTCTGGTGAGATCAATCTTGGGTCCGTCCTAGTATACGATTTTTGGACCACCCGCCCCCCCCCTCTCCCATCATTTTTGCACATGTGCATGAATTTAAGTAATTTTGTTTTAATTTAGGGTTAGGTAGGGNGGAGCTTTGATCAGGGTTTGAAAGGAGCTTTGATCAGGGGTTGAAGGGAGCTTTGATCAGGGGTTGAAGGGAGCTTTGATCAGGGATTGAAGGGTGCTATGATCAGGGGTTGAAGGGAGCTTTGATCAGGGGAGGAATAACAGAAATAAAGAGACTAAGCATTGCTCCTCAAATTGAATGTGGATATCGACATCAAGCAGTCGGGATTATGAGGATCCAAAACAGAAGTTCCCAGCTCAGGTTGTATAATTTATCATTCATTTATTTGATAAATCATTTCTGTAAATTCAAATCATTACATAATATTCAGAGAAATTATTTTTTTAAATCAAATATCAGCTGGCAAGTATTACCCCCCCCCCCTCCCCGCCTCTCTTGATGATGTTTACTCAAAAATAATTTATCTTCTCCAATTTGGCTCGGTGCTAAAACTCGATCTTACATTTCTTGAGTAAAGCTATTTTTATTATTATTAACAATCAACCTACAGCCTAATGTCCGTCACGTGGCTGTTACGTTGAGCTACGGGGTCGAGCTTCAGTAGCTTCAGCTTTATAGATTTAAATTATAAAAAAATCACCTCAACATTTCTCCGCAAATCTTACACGTGGAAATTCCGCGTTTCTTAAAAAAGTTCAATAAAAACAAATTCAGATTTGAAGACGAAGAAAAACATGACAAAGATGAATAAAAATAGGGGTTTTTTAATTAACAAGGCTTCTATTTCAATTTCAACACATTTGAATACATTGAAAAAAAATCTCGCGGATTAAAAAAAAAACGTGAATTTTCAAAATTTACCAAAATCCAATTTTGTTAGAAGCAAATTTTCGAAAATTCGATCATCCATAAACCTTCCCTGGGACACGCGAGGTCCCACAAAATTTTTTTGGCTCAATCGGTTCAGCCGGTTTGATGTTTATTGGAAAAAAATTAGACAGACAAGCAAAGTATATATTTATATATTGAACTTTTCCTTTGGCTTGGGTTTAACTTGAGATTTAGTCAAGGAGTCAGAATGCTTCCTCAGCTAATCAGATATTCTTCAAATTTTAAATCATTAAAGGAACAAACCTTTAAGGATACCGTTGGGATTTAAATAGTCATGACACCCGAGAAATAGAGACTAAGTTGATATAAAGTCTACGGTCATTTTAATACAATGTTTGAACAGCTGAATTTCAACAAAACCAAACGGAAAAAAACTTCGGCTCTCAAAACACACATCTCAAGGTCTTAAAAACTGAGAGATCGGTGAAACTACCCATATTTCTTAACAGTCAATTGTTAATCAAGTTTTTGATTGAACTTATTCAAGTTTTTAAAAATGCAGGAAACGAAGAGAAAGAAATGAAAATTAAGGTTAGACTAAGTTATGAGCTAAAAATCCAAGATGGAGAAAAACATTCTGAATTCCTTGTGATTATGGAGAGAACTTTGAGTTTTAAATTGAGAACTACAGAGGTCACAGGACACATTTCTACCAGAGCTAACCCTAAAACAGATACATCATCTTTAGAAAGTTTGCTTTGCTAATTTTTTAACAAATTAGTCTCCGTTTTGGTTTTGACATATTCCTAGCAGAGAACTCTGGATTTACCAAGGTTTTTTATGATCTCTTCCTAACAGAGAACTCCGGGTTTACCTGAGAATTTTCATGATCTCTTCCTAGCAGATTACTTTGTGTTTACCTGAGGTTTCTATTGATCTATTCCTAGCAGAGAACTCTGGAGTTTACCTGGGTCTCTCTTGATCTCTTCCTAACAGAGAACTCTGGGTTTACTTGGAGTTTCTCTTAATATCTTCCTGGCAAAGTAACTCTAGGTTTATCTGGGTTTTCTCTAGATATCTTCCGCACAAAGAACTCTGATTCTATATTGATCCTTTCTTAGCAGAGAACTCTGGGTTTACCTGGGTTTTCTCGTTATCCCTTCTTAGCTGAGAACTCTGGGTTTCTTCTTTTTTATCTCTTCCTAACACAAATCTCTGTGTTTACCTGGGTTTCTTCTTTATCTCTTCCTCACTAGAGCTCAGGTTCTCCCAATCACCCCCAATATCCTCCAAGAGTAGTTCAACCTTAAAATGAAAACAAATCATATTTTTCCAATAAGGAATCATAAGGAAGTGAAATCTGCAAGAGACCCCAATAAAAGTAAAACCGCCAAGGGAGAAAGTGAAGTCAAGCATGTTTGGATTTTACAGTTAGAATGACTTGCTTGAACTGTCCTGAGATAATAGATAAAAGACTAAAAAAAACGGTGACACATAATTAACTGAAAAACTTATAAAAATCAAATTTAATTAAGAATAAAGTAAAGCCATACCTGTGGTTCGTTTTTAATAATATCTCCATCTTCGTCTTTAACAATGTTATTATCTTTATCCATCCTTAGCCTAGTGTAAATAATTATTTAATTCGTTTATTTATTGTTAAAATAATATCATATTTTAATAAACAAACAACAAATAAAAAAACTATCAAAAGTGTTCCAAAAAAGAGTGATACAGGGGTTAGAAGCCATTCATGCATTTTAAAGTCTCAACTGGGGCCCTAGAATACAACTTTTCATTCTGAAGAAGGTTTTTCTCTCGCATTTTTTTTTCGTAGCCTTAGAATGTTGATAATATAAAGTTCAAAATATCAAAAATATGATACTTCAAAATGCAAAAAAATAAGCCTCTGTTCAATCTTCTGATAAAAATTAAAAAATCATGAATTTTCTGTTAAATTAACCTTTTTTCACACCCTTGTTCCAAATCTTCTTCCGGAGACCAAAGATCAGTTTCCACCTCCACAACCTTCCTTCTTTTCCTCCTTCCCCCATCCCTAGGTTTGGTTTGCTCCAGGTCCACCTCCGAATACTGGAGGAGAGGGTTGGGTTTATTTCCGGGTACAAGATTACGTACAAGGTATTTTAGGATACCCTGGAAAACCTGAAAAAGCATAAAATAGTAGAAAGTGGCAAAATTAAACGCTTCCTGGATCCGGGGTAAATAATCTGGGGTAAATAATCTGGACAAAATAATCTCGAAGATGATAAATTTGGTGTACCGTTCCGTTTTGCCTGTACAGTCAATGGTCAGTACTGTACACAATGATCTTTCCAGGCTACATTTGTTGCATAAATCATGCTAGGTCAATTTTACGCTGGGTAGTCCAGACTGAACAGTGCGACTGAATGCAGATACAGTATATTTTGTACAGGCTCGGATCATGCAACTTTTAGAGTGGGGTGTGTACTATACAGAGTGGTTTTGATTGCAGGGCTGGAGTTTACCAAGCTGCCAAGAAAGAGATCCTGCATAACGTTTATCTAGATAGATAGATAGATAACGTGTACCAAAACCGGAACTCAGAAATAAAAATATGTATTCTTTCAGAAAACCATCCCAACCTTTAAAAAAAGACCCTATACCTGTGATTCTATATTTCCTCGTGAGAGAAGAGCTGCTTGATAAACAAACTGAATTAGAGGACAATACTTCAGCTCTCTAAATAAATAATAAATTAAAATTGATTTTAAAGCTGGAGTTCACTGATTAAACAACGAGTTCTTGCAATCAACTCTGATTTTCTAACCCTAAATCTCTGCAACCTGATGTAATAGAACTTTAATATTTAACACTAATATGAATTCTGTTAGACTAAATATTGTATGTTTTAAATAAAAAGAATTTAAACCATTAGAAATAGGATTTAGAAAGTAAAAACTCAAGTTCTTTCTTTATTGGTTCATTACTATTTTTACTTTTTTAATTCACCGAGTGCAACTTAGTGTTACAGAAATCGATCAAAAGTGATCTCAGTAAATAGGTTTCTGGATGATCCTCCCATTTTCCAAGTTTTGAACTATTTATGTAAAACATTTTTCACCTTTGTTGAGCCTTACATCCCTGAAATTTTAAAAAGTGGCAAATAAAAATTAAAGAAAGGGAATTATAAAGCTAATTTTTTGATTAATTGTGAAAGGAATGGAGTTTTTTCTTCACAAAATCTGTTTTTATAATTCCTTTATTTTTGTAACCAAATGTCATAGATTTTTTCTAGATATTTCAAAGAGTATAAGTTTGAAATATCCAAGTTTTACACCATCAAATTAGAAAGATAAATGGATCCTAGCAACTGTATGTGTTTTGTGGGACACCCTGTTACCTGATATATTGTGAGTAGGTTGAGACAATCCTCTAAATCTATGAAAACATCTTCCAATTCAGCAACACTGTTCAATCCTCTCTCTTCTTTGTATCTAGAAACATAGTTTAAATAAGCATTTTACGACTTCAATAAAAATGTTTTATAATTGTTTCTTGGATATGTAGCAGTGAATATTTTTAAGAATTNTGATCGCATATCTGACTGAAATGTTACCACACCTGATTGCATATCTGACTGAAATGTTACCACACCTGATTGCATATCTGACTGAAATGTTACCACACCTGATCGCATATCTGACTGAAATGTTACCACACCTGATTGCATATTTGACTGATATGTTACCACACCTGATTGCATATCCGACTGAAATGTTACCACACCTGATTGCATATCTGACTGAAATGTTATCAGAGAGCTGCCATGAATCTTGGAACAGGAAACCGGTTTTACAACTTTCCATTTCATCAGATCCAGTCATCTAGGTAGATATTTCATTAAAATCATTAAATAAAAACAGCGATCAAGGATAGAAAACGGACGGACTTGTTCGGCTTTAACCTTTTACACCGGTCTACTTTACTCATAGAAAAAAGATGTCTGTTTTATTTAAATTAATCTTTTGATTTCTTAAAGGAACTGACAGCATGATTTCAAGTGACCCTCCATGCAAAGATGGTAATGGTACCCTTCAAAGCCTAATCAGATCAAGGAAGAATTAGATAGTTTATGATTTTAAAACTAAAAAGTTTTAATTGAATCCGTCATTGTCATCTTTGTATGGAGGGTCCTTCAAATAACGCTTGCAGTCCCTTTAAAGAATCAAGGACATAAAATTGACTGCCTTGGCACTCTGTTAGAAGAGTATTATCAACTTCACACAACGGTTTAATTATCCCTTGAATTAAAGGGACTGTACGCGTAATTTCATGTGACCCTTCATTCAAAGATGGCAAATTGTCCAATTCCAACGGTACCCTTAAAGGGAGTGTACGCGAAAAATGAAAGGGGGTATAGGCTTAATGCGATAAAAAAGCGCTTTTGATCGCTTCTAATCTTACTTCTATCTGTTGCGTCTTTAAGGAGAAAATTGTTAAAAACGACTAATACCGAAGAACGTAGTATCCATACAAATTCAGAAAGATGCAACATACGACTTAGACCGTAAAAAAATCTATTTAATTTCAAACAAATCATTCATATATTACACCCTATGGTCATCAATTATCTTTCGCCACATTTGTATACAGTTGATTTTTCATAATATGTTTTGATTTTATTTTTTTAAATAACATTTAGCTTCCAACTGGTTTTCGAACATTCCCGGAAAATATGAAAATGTCGTCTTCATTACCAAAAATCCTCGAAACAGGAATAAATGTTTTTATAAGTAACTCTCAGATCATAACAAAAACCTTCCCTGGGGGCATGTGAGGTCCCACACAAAATTTGGGCCCGATCAGGTATTTAATAGCACAAAATCCTTGATAGAATTGAGGTGAAGGATGCAATTGAACAACATTAAAAATGTTATTTCATCAAGATGAGTTTACCTTCTGCTGTGTCTGCTCTCCCCGTACTGAACCCATTTCTACATCTGAAATAACATTACACAAACAATCATGTTATTTACTCCAGAATATAGAACTATGATTAGGATACTGAAATCTATCACAGTATAATCCAGAATATAGAACTAAGATTAGGATACTGAAATCTATCTCAGTATAATCCAAAATATAGAACTATGATCAGGATACTGAAATCTATCTCAGTATAATCCAAAATATAGAACTATGATCAGGATACTGAAATCTATCTCAGTATACTCCAGTATATAGAACTATGAAGAGAGGATATTGAAATCTATCTCAGTATACTCCTGTATATAGAACTATGAAGAGAGGATTGAAATCTATCTCAGTATACTCAAGTATATAGAACTATGAAGAGATGATATTGAAATCTATCTCAGTATACTCCTGTATATAGAACTATGAAGAGAGGATATTGAAATCTATCTCAGTATACTCAAGTATATAGAACTATGAAGAGATGATATTGAAATCTATCTCAGTATACTCCAGTATATATAACTATGAAGAGAGAATATTGAAATCTATCTCAGTATACTCCAGTATATAGAACTATGCCCTATGCAGAGAGGATATTGAAATCTATCTGGGGGGTTTGCTCTGGTTTTAGTTTCATTTCTTCCTCTACTTCGTGGAGTTTACGTCTGTGAACCTGAAACAAGAATACAAGATGAAAGAAAATATTTCTTCTTCAAGTGCAACGAAAAAGTTTGCAATACATATATGGTATATTTTATATCACTGGTGTAACAGCTTAAATTAACTTACAATGGGTAATAATCGTACGTTTTTTGTCGCTCTAGTATATGTGAAAATACTGTTTAGGATCAAGAGGGCAGTAACTGGGGGGGGGGGGGCACACGGGCTACTCCCCCTGTAAGATCCAAAATAAGGTAAATAAGTGCTTTTTGGTTGTGTAAGAAGGATTTGCCCCCCCCCCTTTAATTACCGTCTGTGGCCCCCCCCCCCCCTGCAAAATCTTTCAGTTACGGGCCTGGGATCAAGATTCTAATTCGGAAAACTGGTTATTCAAAGACATTATTGAGAAATTAACATTAAGAAAAACTATTTTTTACCTTTTTAAAATGGTTTCCTAGATATCCCCGGGAACTAAACGCGGCCTTGCACACTGGACAAATGTGATCCCGGATACCGCTGAAAAAAATCAAAAATATATAACATTTTCAGAATTGTTTTCTTCAAAAAATATCTTCAAGCAAAACCTTACCTATGTTGCTTAAGATGACCGTAATAGACCTTCCGGCGCGCTTTAGAAAATGTTTTCCCGCATTCATCGCATCTATAGGGCATCTGTTCATCGGGGGTATGGATGTTTCTGAACATACATAATATCATTGAAAAGGGAAATTGTTAACATAATTTTATTAATAAAAAATCAATAAACCAATATATCAATAAATCCAGTGCTTAGGATCCATTTCATTTTGGTGCGGATCCGGATCCGGATCCAAGTCATTTCAGGAACACTTCTATAAGATTTACTGATTTTTTTTACAAAAGAAGAATTTTTAAATTAGTTTTCTTCTTTTTTCACTTATTTTTATGATAAAACTCGGTGAATCATTGCGAGAAAATCTCTTCTTTTCAACAATTTTGATTTGAGTTTTGAGAGCACAACTTTTTTTTACAGTTTTAATAGATATTTTGCCCCTTGGATCCAGATCCGTGGATCCGCATATTTTTTACGGATCCGGATCCAGGAAACCAAAATGTAGCGGATCCAAACGGATCCGGTTTCTAAGCACAGCAGTTTAATCTTTGATTATAGTGAGGGTGAGGATTGATTAATAATAACAACCTGTTTTGTTTGATTAATGAGGTTTGATCAATAATTACCTATTATGTTTGATTACTGAGAATTGATCAATAATTACCTATTATGTTTGATTACTGAGAATTAATCAATAACTACCTATTATGTTTGATAAATGAGAATTGATCAATAATTACCTGTTATGTTTGATTACTGAGAATTGATCAATAATTACCTATTATGTTTGATTACTGAGAATTAATCAATAACTACCTATTATGTTTGATTAATGAGAATTGATCAATAATTACCTGTTATGTTTGATTAATGAGAATTGATTAATTATTACCTATTATGTTTGATTAATGAGAAAAGATCAATAATTACCTGTTATGTTTGATTAATGAGGATTGATCAATAATTACCTGTTATGTTTGATTAGTGAAGATTGTGAACCAAAACATTGTCCACAGTCCTTGCATTGATAAGGTTTCTCTCCAGTATGAACCCGTTCATGGATATTTAGCAGGGAAACATGAGGGAACCTTTTAGGACAGAAATTACAGGTATACTGGAAGGTTTCCGTTGGCTGATGGGTTCTCCTAAATAGATGGATAGATAGATCGATTAATAGATTAGATAGATAGATAATTAGATAATAAAAAAATAAGAAGAATTTCATTCGTTCCTAATGAATCGGACTCACTCCTACGAACCCATAATTAAGATTAAAGACTAATAAGGATACATGAATATTGAGAACGCAAGGTAAAAAAGCACTAGCGAGGATTGAGGACACACAAAATTGTACATTTACAATTTACATGGGAGTTGAGGGATGATTTTGATATTGTCATAGTGTGGTGATATCTACAAGGAAAGCAGTAATCCGTAGATATTTGGTCGACTCGAGTTGAGAATTTGTTTGTTTATGTCTTAATTGCAGACTGTTGAAACATGACGGCCTTTTACCCTTAGCCTTTTCCGATAACATAAAACATAATCTAGCAGACGTAACTTTATTTTTACCATTGAAATTAGAAAAGACAACTCAAATTCTTAACAGAGATAATTTCGTATTCGTGACTTAGTAACCATGTTTTTAAGGGACACGCTGTACAATAGGAATCATAGGTTGAAATTCAACCGACTATTAGACAAACTTCTTAGTTTTGAGCGATTGCTATTTTTAAAACATACTTGTGTGTACTGAGTGCCTGTGACGTGTTGCATTCTTTCCCGCATTCGTCGCAGATATAACTCTTCACCTCACGGTGTATTCTCATATGGGCCTAATCAATCAATCAATCAATCATATATTTTTCAAAATTTGGAATTAATAAAAACTGAGATAGAAAAACGAACAATGTTTGGTTCAACTACTGGTTAAGTTGTTAAGATGTGCAAATTTTCAGCTTAAGATGATAACCATATAAACTTCAAAAAAAAACATTATTTTTTTTTAAACAACACTTGATCACTTTTCATAAATAAATAGTTGTCAAGCGTATGTAATTAAAACATGATCAAATTGCCTGAAATGTGCTGTGATTGTGAGTTTTATACTCGCATACTGTACACGAATATTCTTTGGTTCCCTGCACGCAACAGCATTTTTTATTTAAATTGTAAAAAATATTGAAAATTAATAAAAATGTTGTTCTAGGGTCATTCCAAAACAATTTTTGAACAATTTTGTAAGTGACCATCTCGGTTTTGCCTAAAGTTTTGAACAGCTTAATGTTTAAAAAACATATATCATTTTCAAAAATTTTTAGGAGAAATATTAAAAATTTCAGAATTTTTTTTTTGTAAATCTTGTTACATATTTGTTTTGAGCAAAAAGATCAAATTTATAAAAATCTTAATATCAACATTTTGGAATCTTTTTAAATGACACCGAATTAAAAAAAAATGTTTAAAAATTCTGTTGCTTCCTTCATATGAACTTGAACAGTGTGGAGTTTAAGATTAAGTTCAGTATAATTATAGAATCCACAGACACGACAGATAAACTGAGATTTATCAGGGTGAACTGTCTCACTGTGTCCTGAAACATAGAGGTGTGTACAGTACAATTATGGAATGGTGATCCGTCACACTGTGTTCTAAAACAATAAAGAAAAAATAAGATTTTGTAGAAAATCTAGTTTTTCGTTAAATTTTTGTTTTTAAAGGGCTAATTTTAAGGAAGTAAAATTGGTCATAGAAAACGATAATTTTTTTTAAGAGGATATAGCCCAAAAAAAAATTAATAAAATTGAAATATAACGGGTTGAACATACCTATAAGACTATCAGCTGAATAGCAGGGTTTCCCGCAGAGTATACAAATATAAGCTTCAGTATGGGTTCTCTCATGTCGCGTTAAACCCTGATCAAAAATCGCACACATTTCAAAAATTGTAAATTTGTTTATAGGATTTTATTCAACTACCTTGATTTTTGAAGGAAACAAGCAAAAATATATAAAATCGGGTTAAAAGAAAGTCTCATTTACACTTTTACACCTATTTAAAAACACTTTAATCGTAATTTCTAAAAATCCCACAAACGTAATGTTTACCATCATTCATGGCAAGGTTATAATGCAAGGAAAGTTATTTCAGAGGTGTGCGCATCTTTTGTACTGCAGTGTACTGTCTCTGGGCGGTAATGTAAACACAGGACGGATGTCGAAGCCTTACATGGGATCCATTTTACACATAAAAAAATCAATGAAATATTATGGTCATAGGAAACTATTATGTGAATTATCAAAATTATCAAAATTTAATGCTTTAAATCTACTCGGATACTAAATGAACACTGATGCATCTATTCTTGTTTACAAATTCCACCCAGAGAGAACTGGTTTTAATATGTACGTAGAGTATACGCAACTGCAATTAACTTTCCTTGCATTATAACATTGATTGCAGGTATATTCACCATCATTCCAGGTATCTTTTTTAAGTGTTTCGTTTTTTAATTTTCCTTTTAAAACTTTTTATCTGTGAATTTGCGTGTTTTCCTTAAAATGTTGAAATGAATGCCGACACTCCGGTAGTCCGCATTTCAGCTCGGATCTCTCATGGAGTTCGAATAATCTAACTCCACTCTGCCCTGCAGGTTTCGGCGGCCATATTTCCAGTTTATCGGGATGATGATCCACACAGTGTTTGTACAATCCAGCCTAATGTATAAACTGTAATATTGAACTTATGTACATAGTGTTTGTACAATCCAGCCTAATGTATAAACTGTAATATTGAACTTATGTACACAGTGTTTGTACAATCCAGCTTAATGTATAAACTGTAATATTGAAATTATTATTGAAAAAATTCCACGGGCAACGCCGGGCCCTTCAGCTAGTCTATTATAAAACTGACCCTGGTGAGAAACTTCTTTGTGCACCCAGCACACGGTAATCTCGCCTTCTTCCCCTTCTCGTTCATAACAGAGCTCGGGTGTTGCAACCTAAGCAAAGGTTTTAATTTTTTAATTTTTTTTTTAAAGTGTTAGTAAAATCACTAGAAAAATACTTTAAAATTCATTTTCCCAACGGTTTATTAAAATTAAACAAAACTTTTGGAGAAAAGTAAAAAAAAGAAGGGAAAAGTACAAAAAAGAAGGGAAAAGTACCAAAAAAGAAGGGAAAAGTACAAAAAAGAAGGGAAAAGTAAGGTTGATATCAGTCTTAAATTTTTCGCCGGTTCCCTCAAATCTTTGAAAAAATGTGCCCCCATTTTTATCAGTTTTTCACAATAAATACCCCGCCATTTTTTGAAAACGAAGCAAAATGTGCACAATCCATTTCTCTCCATTTACTTTGAATAAGTGAGAACTTGGGTGCCAAAGACCAATTTAACCGGCAAAACATCCAGAGCGCAGCGAGATATTTTTTGTAAGGAACCCGTGGTTAGGTAAAATTATTAATTTCCCAAAAATATATTACACAAAATTGTCCTAAGAGACGTTCAGTAACTTAACATCCCTCTGTTATGGGAATCTAAGGCCAAAAGGCGGTAAAATATCTTAGTTTCATAAAGGAATTTTTTAAGTCACTTTTAATTAACGCGTAAAAAAATAGCTTACCTATAGTGTTTAGCTAGCAAATACTGTTTAATTATCGACCATAAAAATAGCTTACCTATAATGTTTAGCTAGCAAATACTGTTTAATTAACGAGCATAAAAATAGCTTACCTATAATGTTTAGCTAGCAAATATTGTTTAATTAACGCGTATAAAAATAGCTTACCTATAATATTTAGCTAGCTAATACTGTTAATAGCTTACCTATAGTGTTTAGCTAGCAAATACTGTTAATAGCTTACCTATAGTGTTTAGCTAGCAAATACTGTTAATAGCTTACCTATAATGTTTAGCTAGCAAATACTGTTTCTCGAAAACTTCCGGGCATTCAAAACATTCCACCAATCTTTTGTTCGGTCTAAAGGAAAATTATTTCGAAAAGATTGTTAAAGGACTGTAAGAGTAATTTCAAACGAATTTGCAGTTCCATGCAATAATGGCAATGCCCGATTAACAACGGTACTCTTGAAAGCTTTATCTATGAGGACTCTTTAATTTTAAAAAGCACCGGTGTTTTTGATTTTTCCAGAGGTGTATATTAGTTGTGACTCATATTTTTGCCCCCCCCCCCTTTTCAGTTTCATATATTTCCCCAAATCCATGACATAAAAACAGGTATATTTTACAGGTTTACGAAGCAGCAGGCGCAAACTTTCTGTACTTTATCCAAAATTAAAAATTAAAAGTGTCAACATTGGATATTATTATTCAGATTAAGACGTCGGGGTTAAAGGTATCCCATTCTATGGTTCCCAGCTCTGGGGGATGAAGATCAAGTTTGTCTTGATGAACTGACCTGGGGGGATGAAGATCGGGTTGGTCTGGATGAGCTGAGAGATAATGAGAATAATGTTGAACATCCCCGCTTAAGCTGAGATCACAGATCTGGCATTGGATCCTGGGACCCGAATCATGCTTCCGCCTCTTCCGACTAGGTTCAGACAATTCATCTCCAGATACAGACTTAACATTTATTATAAAATCAAAAGGACAATCTAATAAAATTTAGATCTTTTATAGTTTAACAAAAGATATGCGTCAATCCGAATTCTAGGGGCAAAAAATTCCTCAAAATTTTTTTTTCAAAAACCTTTAAATTTTAAATTTTTATAATACAAACTTTTTCTTAAGCTGCTATAAATGAATGAAATTTTATTTAGAAATTCCAATTTCGAAACATCTTTATGAAATTTCAAATGTAAAAATACTCCATATAATCGTTTACAAAATAAAGCGTTTTCGGAATTGTTCGTGTTGTTATCGGAATTGTTTGGTTTTGTTATCGCAATGTTTGGTGTTGTTATCGGAATTGTTTAGTGTTGTTATCGGAATTGTTTGACTTACATCTTCTTTCAAATCGTCTGTCCCAATATCACAATCTATATGATTGTACAGGTCCTCGTCAAAATCATATTTAAACTCTGAATCCTCGTTCTTGACTCTATCCCCTTCCCCCAGCAGGGTTTCAGTGCTCATCAACACTTCAGGTTCTGGAAAGTATTCAAATAAAAAATATGTCGTTCAGAGCTGGCAATGATTGATCTCGATCTTTTGTTAATCTGCAGATTGATTTGATCCTTATTCAACATCCCACAGTAGTATCCAGGACAAAAGTTTCCAGCGCAGGACGTATTTTTAACCAAGCAACTATATCTATATATAAATTTAGCTGTCTGTTTGTTTAACGTCAAAACGGCTGAACCGATCGGGCCCAAATTTTTTGTGGGACATCACGTGACCACAGGGAAGGTTTAGGAATGATAAAAAAATTTTAAAAAATGTGTTTTAAAGGTTTTTCATTTTGTAAAAAAAAATTTAAATTCTTTAAAATCCGCGATTTTTTTTAAAAATCCGCAAAATTTTTTTCTTCTTTGTTTTAAAATGTAAACAAGAAGAACATGTTCGCAATTTAAATAGAAGATGGGCGCGAAGCGCCCTAAAAGCCTAGTATATATATATATAAAGTCTAAATCTCTGCTTGTTGTTTGTTAGGATATTCTCGATCGAAAAATCATCATCTTATATCAATTACCCCAAACAATATTCAAATTATCTGTATATGCTGTCGAGGACATATTTATTATTTATAACCAAGAAGGGAGGGGCGCAACAGATCTAGTATCAGGGGCGTAACTCAGGAATTTGTCCGGGGGTGGGCTAAAGAAAATTTTTCTACAGCAGGTCTAACACCCATTGGGACCTAATAAACCTGGAAATCATATAATTTCATTGATCCAGCACATGCCAATGCCCAGGGGTGTTGTGAATCTCCATCTTAAGGAGACTTACAGATTAATTTAATTCCTTGTTAATGTAAATCACGTGATGGTAATACTCTGCAGTACTTAGAATCAAGAATTGATCTTCAAATTTAAAAGTGCCCACATTGGATATCAAGATCAACATTAGCAGCACAAAAGTTTCAATCTCAAGTCCAGACAATTTTCGAGAAATACAACTACTCGCAGAATAGCAACTAAACTAACCTGTCACCAGATCCTCCAGTTCCAGGTAATCCTCCGAAATCTTTTTCTTCGGTTTCCGCCTCGTTCTCTTGGACGGCGAAGGAATCTCCGTTATGGCAGAGCCTTGTACGGCATCTGCTTCCTCAATAGTGTAGAATATATCGCCGGGTATTCCCTCTGCACCATTCTGAAACAAGATATTTTCTTATTTAGACAATAAATGAAAATTCATTAAACAAGATTAGAATGATTCGTATCTATAGGCTAACTGGGGGGGCTATGCGGCTCAGTCCCCCCAGGGATCAGAAAAAAAGATGCCAGGAAACGTTCAGGCCCAAACGGGTGTTGAGCCCCCACTTGGAAAGAAAACAAATTTTAGCCCNCTCCCATGGTCAAATTCCTGTGTTTGCCCCTAATAGTAGCCAAAATCTAATTTTTTTCTTAAACCAACAAAAAGATAGGGTCCATTTAAACAAGCGACGTGAAAATTCTGATGTTTAGGTTAATAAGACAATTTAGAAGGCTTTGATTACCAACGAGTCTGTATAATGTGGGACCCATTTCCCCCGGCCTCTCCTCTCAACCCCTCGACAAATGTATTAGAAAACCCTTTTTAAATATGGAGACAATGAAGCAAAACTATACCTTACTCATTGTTAAACATTAAGATTATTATTAAGATTATCCGGAAAATACAACTAAATTAAAGGCTTACCAAAGTATCTAGTTGAATGTTCTTTGAGATCTGCTGCTCAGGTTCTAAAAAATAGAATTTTAGAAATATATTCCATCATATTATTCAAATTAAACCTAGCTATCCTAAGATACAAGATTCCTAAGATACAATATTCCTAAGATACAATATTCCTAAGATACAATATTCCTAAGATACAAGATCGTCAACTTAATTATCCAAGATTGACCTGTTGTAAATCTATTTGTCGTTTATTACATACAGAGCTACCACAACGGATGAAACTTTAAAGACGACTGTACGGAATTTATTTTTTATATATTCTTAGTACAGTTTAAATTCAAACTCAACTCTTTTGATGCTCTGGGGGAAATGAAAAATTAGACATCGAAAATATCTTAATTATCCTAAGTATTACCCTAAACGCATAACGTCTGGTGAAAAATAATATAATGATTTTTCAAACAAATGTATACCCCTGACGCCTTCTTAAGTAAAGAATAGATTGTCATATTTTAAGAGTATATGGTCGTAATTAGAGTCGAGTTCTTTATGTGAAACCAGTGCTTAGGATCCGGATCCATATCCGTTGGATCCGCAAGATTTTGGCTTCATGGATCCGGATCCGCCAAAAATATGCGGATCCACGGATCCGGATCCAAGGGACTAAGTATCAACCAAACACTGCAAAAAAAAAACTGTTTTACTCTCTAAACCTGAATCTGAACTATGGAAAAACTGTTTTACTCTCTAAACCTGAATCTGAACTATTGAAAAACTGTTTTACTCTCTAAACCTGAATCTGAACTATTGAAAAACGAGAGATTATAAAAAAATTCCTGATTTCTGAATGGTTCATCAAGTTTTAACAACAAAAATAAACTAAAAATAAGACAAAAAAATTAGAAAATTCTGCTTTGTTAAAAAATTCAGTAAATCTTATCCGGATCCGCATTAAAATCAACTGGATCCTAAGCAAGGCACTGTGTGAAACCCTGTAAGTCAGGATATTCAGATATACATCTTGGTTGTTTTTCAGAAATAAAGGTTTAAAAATTAATTCAAAAAGATGAGCATTAATTTTTCTCCAGTTATTCAGGATGTTTTAATCCCCGGTTTGTCAGTAAAAATCTTGATTTTTTCCCCGTCATATCTTCTAAACTAAAACTAACCCCCCCCCCCCCCACACACATTATCAAAATATACACCCCTGGTTAAATAGAACCTTTGTGATCAGTTAATACTTCAAATAAAGGATTCCCAAAAATAATATTTTAATAACGATATCCTGGCTAGACTAATGCCAACCTGAGTACTCCTCTAGGTTTTGAGCTAAAGTTTCTTCATCCCTCGGAGTCAAGGCTAGTCGAACTAAACTCTCCAAACATCGCTGGAAACAAAAGTATTAAATGTCTTAGTTTTAAGAATTGGTAGGTTGTATGCCAATCCAATCCCATCCCATTTCATTCCATTCTATCCCAAATATCATCCTTCTAGCTTGTAATGGGTTCGATAAGAAAGTTATCTGGGGCCTATTTTTTAAATATACATTACTTACTATTAGGAGAGTACTAAAAAAGAAAGATTTGTTCCAAAAACAAGATTTTGAAAAATGCATAATCCATCATTTTAAAGAACTCGTCGGCGAAATCAATTTTTTTTGTGAATTTCTATACTTTTAACTGTTATTATAAAAACTCTACCTTAAATAAGTTTGATTTGTTTGCTGTCTTCTGTGCAGTTTGATGAATAAAGTCTAGAATTGGACAATAAGCGTTGGAGTTCACAGACCATATCTTGTTTATACTTGACAAATTTCGGCCATCGTCGGCCAATATTTTCACCGCCTGACTGAGGTCGACCCAGACATCCTCTATTGGCACACTGAGGTTGCTAGACTTGATATTTAAAGCGTAATCTATGGATAAATCCTCTAAAATGAACCAGCTGCCTTTATAAATACTACCCATTCTTCTGAAATATCAATTTTCTCAGGTACAATAGATTTCGGGGATTAGTAGTAAACGATTACAGACCTCCCTGATGGAAAATGCCAATATCAAGGAACGGTTGTCCGTTTGTGTAATTTATAGTGACCCTCCATTGAAGGAGGGTCATGTCCGATTCACAACGGTACCCTTGAAATCTTTATCTGATCAATAATGCGGAAGATTATGACTTGAAAGTGTTTATTCTGTAAACTTTCCCATTGGTTAAGAAGCAAGAAATGCGCACGTCACTTTTGCAGAGAAACCACAATAATAAACAGTTTTCAAAATAAAAAAAAATGGATAACTTTCATTCACTCTTGGTCAGAAAAAAGCATTTAAGGGTACCGTTGGGAAAAGTGGTAACAAAGGAGGGTCACTTTAAAAATTCCGTTAACTGTCCCTTTAAGAACACAAAATTAAATATAAAAACATCATTCAAAACTAGTATTTTCATTAGTATTATATGTAGGCATTGGAACTAGCTAGGACAGTAAGGCACATTGGACTGTGGGTTGCTCATCCTTTCGCAAAAAAAAGATTTGTCAGACTAATTCATTCTCTGCGTATTTTGCCGTATTTCAGCTTGACAACAGATTTAGTTTAATGCAGTGCTTAGGAATTAGAATCCGTAAGATTTTGGGTTCCTGGATCCAAGCGGGAAAATATTAACCAAAAACTTAAAAAAAAAAAAAAATTTTACTCTTAAAACCTGAATCTGAACTGTTGAAAAAAGAGATGTTATAAAATTTTAAGTTTTAGCATAAAAATAAGCAAAAAAAAAGAAGAAAGATAATTTGACATGTCTGCTTTGTTTAAAAAATTATTAAATCTTAAACAAATGTTCATAACCAGATCCGGATCCATTTTGCGGATCCAGGATCTGGATCCAGTTCCGGATCCGCATTAAATCCTAAGCACTGGAACTTTATGTGGAATGGCCGTTACATTATAGTTAGAAGTTACGTAAGCGTTTAAAGGCCTTTCTACAAATGTATATTTTGGTATTGTTCATATTTTCTTCGGCACGTTTGCAATAATAGGTTTTGGTCTGGATTTAAAGATTAGTTTCTTCTTGATGACGGCTGTGACGGTGTAGCTGGTAGAGGAAGGGGAGGAGGAGGTCTCCAGGTCCATCAACTCATCACCATCATCTGTTCCTTAAGGATGGGAAGATTTTGAATAATGTTTGACGGAAAATTCGTTCTAGTCAAAAACTGTAAATATGCTAAAAATGCAGTTTTTATCCCCCCCCCCCTGTTTACTTTTACAAAATATCAAAGAGGGGAAAATATTTATAAACCTGTAAGCATATTCTCAGACTCGACGTGCTTGGTTACCGCAAGAAAAGGCGCTTCCAGTTCCATTTCCTTCCCGTACAGAATATGATGTCCAATTATCATTATTGGAACACCTGGAACAAGAACTAGATTAATATGCATTATTGGAACACCTGGAAAAAGAACTAGATTATCATGCATTATTGGAACACCTGGAACAAGAACTAGATTAACATGCATTATTGGAACACCTGGAACAAGAACTAGATTAACATGCATTATTGGAACACCTGGAACAAGAACTAGATTAACATGCATGGTTCAACAATTTTTACAAGAAACTTCGAGAAAACTTTTCGAATAAAAACATAATAATATATAAAATACAGTCTAATTAAATAAAATGAAGAGATTAATGGAGGGAGATAAATTTTCAAGAATTGGGACAAAGATATTGATACTTCTGGGATAAATCGGAATTAAAAATGCAAGTTTTAGATACTTATGTATTTAAAGAAAAATTTAACCCCCCCCCCAAAAAAAAAAAAAATTATTTGAATTCCCAATTTCAGCAAACATAACTAAAATCTGGATGATTATTTTCAAGCAGGAGGGATAAATGCTTGGAATCGGACTCCAAACTCCACAAACTTAACCATGTCTTAAACAAACCTAACTTATATTAAGATATGTAAAGATATTGAAAAGATTTTGCACGTTTCATAACAGTGCCCCTTGCTAGAACCCTTAACTAAGTGTCATCGTTTTTCTTTCTGGTATTGTGATATATTCCCACTTTTTTCTTATTTGTCTCTAATTTGCATAATTGCACAGGTCACTCTCATTCATAAATTATAAAAACAACAATTGAAAGTTATAATTTAAGATTGCTTGTTACTCAGACCAAAATTGAATCAAACACGTCTTTATATAAATAATGAATTCCGAGTTTATTGAAATTATATTATATTATACCTTGATGAGTAAAATGAAGATCTCCGATAAACTTCCCCTCCAGATGATCCCGGTTTCTACTCTCCAGGTCTCCTTGCATCTCCAGCAGAAACCACTCTTCCGTCCCACCAGGCCCTCGACCCATCATCAACTGCATTGTGATGTGTGAGTCTAAAATAAAAAAAAAAAACAATATTTACAAATCAAATTATATTAAAGCTTTTCGTTTTGAAATTTAAAAAAAAAGTCTACAGTTAACGTCTAAAACTTCGTCTTATCATCTTTATTAGAAATATGTAAAAATTAAGAAAATATCAAATATTTCATACTGAACGATAATATTAAAAAAAATATGATATTGTATTACAAAAAAACTGAGTCCTGAGTCAAAATAAAATCGAACATAATTGCGCGGTTAGAACTTACTTGCCGCGTCTTAATCTAGGTTTATGTTTTTTCGTCTTCACTTTCCTTGAAAACTCATATCAACCAACTAATACTCGAGGTCTCAAATTCCTACAGATTCCATTTATCCCATCCTTTATAGTATCCATTTGTTTTCCCAAGATTGTATACAGGGGCGGGGGGTGTAAGGGTGTAGCGTCCCCCCTAAACCTGTGAAAGGGAAGAGGGCCCCTTTAGAAAACAGCTACATCACACTTTTTAAATCTTATATTTAATGAAGAGTGAAGAACAAAAAAGTTTCCTGTTCAGAACCTATCCTTTATATTATTATAAATTCTTATTTTCTCTTACTTTTAAACTGTCCTTTAAATATTCTCCTTTCCTCTTCCTTCTAACCCTTCCTTTTACATATTCTCCTTTCCTCTTCCAATTCTACCTATCGTTCATATTTTCTCCTTTCATCTTCCTTCTAACCATATATTCTCTTTTCCTCTTCCTTTTAACCTATATATTTTCCTTTCCTCTTCTTTCTAACATATCCTTCATATATTCTCCTTTCCTCTTCCTTCTATAAACCATATATACTCTTTTACTCTTTCTTCTAATCCTTCCTTTACATATTTTCCNGGGACTCCTTTCCTCTTCCTTCTAACCTATCCTTTATATATTCTCCTTTCCTTTCCTCTTCCTTATAACCTATCTTTTAGATATTCTCCTTTCCTCTTCCTTCTAACATATCGTTTAAATATTCTCCTTTCTTCTTCCTTCTAACCTATCCTTTAAATATTCTCTTTTAATTTCCTCTTCCTTCTAACCTATTCTTTAAATGTTCTCCTTTCCTCTTCCTTCTAACCTATCCTTTACATATAATCATTTCCTCTTCCTTCTAACCTATCCTTTACATATTCTCTTTTTATTTCCTCTTCCTTCTAATCTATCCTTTAAATAATCTCCTGGACATGGAAACAAAGAGAAGCTGTCAATAAACAGCTTCTCTTTGTTTGCTTGTATACTTGTAATTTCAAAAAAGATTTAACTTTTTGGAACAATATATTGTTAGAAATCAAAACTTATTTTGAAAAGTAGTCTTCATTGTATTGATATAAACGCCAACCATTGTATGTAATTCTCTTTTCCTCTTCTTTCTAATTCTTATATTTTCTTAAATTCTCGGATTAAATATAGTTTGTAAAGAGTTGTTTATTAAAAAATATTACAATCTTTAAACCAATGTTATAGATATAGAATACATTTATACACAAAGCCTGTAGAGGAATTAAAGTTTAGATTTGATGATTTACAAAAACTAGTTATATTCATAAACGTGGGTTTGGCAAATACACCCAGCTTAAGGGGGGAGGGGTCAAGGCCCCCCCCTGAACTCCCATCAAGGTAGAAAAGCTTCTGATTGCATGATTTAACATGATTGTAATGTATGTATTCATCCTCATACTTTCTGCACTCCATTTTAAACTTGTATTTCTATGGAAATAGTCAGCTTTTGGGCTTAGGTTTGGTTTTAAGGGTGAGGGGGGGTGGGTGTAAGTAAAGATGGGCATCCCTTTTGTGAACAAACAAAATTTCTCGAGAACGACATGGTGTTGTTTAGAAAAAAAACTAATCATGGACGAACAAACTAAACAAGTTTTTTGAACGTTCATGAAGGATGAACGAACGAAATGAAATAAACGAATGCGCCCAGCTCTAGTTGTAAGTATACTATGTATTAAGTATATTTTCATCTTGTATCTTGTTTTTGATATAATAAATATTAAATAGAGTAGTCCTTATAGCTCACATGTAGTCCAATCACCTTGCAATTATTACTTACTTCAGTACTACTTTATCTGTCCTTCAAACAAAACTCTGTTACTTAAAAGGGAAAATTAGGTTACAGGAGTTACAACACCGGTGGGAGGGATTCCCTTAAACTTATAAACAGCAAACTATTTTTGTCCTGTTCTTCAGTCCTTCACTCTTCATTTTAAGATTTGAAAAGTGTGATAGCTCTGAGTTCTAGGGGGGGCTACACCCCTCCCTTAACAGGTCTACGGGGCACTGCCCCCTGTATACGCCCTTGGTTTAATGTAATTTTGCTTTAAACAAATATAAATGATGAATATATAAAAATATATATATATATATATATATGATTCATTCATCCTTATTATATGTTTGAAGAAAAATCACTAAACCTCTCTTAGTTTGATCTTCTCTTGGTTTTATTTATATTCATCCCAAAGGATGAGACTTCAATGGCGACCTAAAACTCTAAAATTGGTTATGCATGTTCAACAAGTTTACAGTTTACCAAGAATGAAAGAAAACAAGACAAAATAAATTCTGTGAAGTCGTCTCTGAAGTCTCATCCTTTGTGGGTAACTCTGTATTATAGAAAGAGACCACATTTTCATATTGTTTATTAATTTCTATTTTTATCATAAATTCAAGTAATTGAGATTGTAACTTATTAATGGACAGAGAGGGCTTAATTATTTCTGATCACCGGTAGTTAAATATCATGAGATACGAGAAAATATAGGAATAAGTGACCAGAGCGGAAAACTTTAGAATGGGATATCCCTAATCCCGATCGGTTAATTAATTTGGAGATTAATAACAAGAGGAGAACAAGTATTATTTAATCTGGAGATTAATAACAAGAGGAGATCAAGCATTGATCTCGATATTCACGATTCTAAAGTTTTCAGCTCAGTTATAAGTTCTACATATAACACAATCAATTAAGGATGAAAAGGTAGTTTTTTTGACATTTTTTTATCCTAAGGGACTGTCGTAATCTTAAGGAACCTTCCATTTAAAAAAGATGAAAATTTCATTAAATTATATTTTAATCGTAGAATTCGGCGTTTTGTCAACTTGATTCCCTATTATAGAAAGTATATTCAGTATTGTTATTTTTTTACTCTGATATATTGGAGTAATTAATTCTTCTCATCCTTTCTCAAAACTTTTTTTCTAATTTCAAAACAATTTTGTAAACTCCGAGAATTAGTCATTGTTAGAATTCAAGGTTTAGATAAATGTAGAAAGGAATGCCACGATGTTGACTTAATTTATTGTTTCTTCTTCGGGTGACCGCTAAAAATCACATAAGAACGAAAATAATTTCATGTTTTCATTTTTAGAATTCGAAAAAAAATTTAATTTTTGAACGTTATAAGTCAATTTCTCCTCTTATTTTTTTCTTTCTCAATACTGAACTCCGCAATATGAAATTGTTTTGGTTTCCTTAGAAGATGGACCCTAGGTTTATGGCAGGGGTATCTGTAGGGGTATATAAACCCAGGTTCATCCGACCATACTCAATCCATTTTCATCCCTCACACACAATGGTTGCAACAAGAGTAAGATTTTTAAAAATAAATTCAAGTTTCTTCTTCTAGTACTCCTTTCTTCTTCTAGTAATCCTTTCTTCATCTGGTAATCCTTTCTTTTTCTAGTATTCCTTTCTTCTTCTAGTAATCCCTTCTTCTTCTATTAATCCTTTCTTTTTCTAGTAATCCTCTCTTCTTCTACTAATCCTTTCTTCATCTAGTAATCCTTTCTTCTTCTAGTAATCCTTTTTTCTTCTAGTAATTCTTTCTTCTTCTAATAATCCTTTCTTTCTCTAGTAATCCTGTCGTAATCGAGTAATCCTTTCTTTTATTAGTAGTCCTTTTTTCTTCTACTAATCCTTTCTTGATCTAGTAATCCTTTCTTCGTCTAGTTATCCTTTCTTCTTTAAGTAAGTCTTTCTTCTTCTCGTATTCGTTTCTTCTTCTAGTAATCCTTTCTTCATCTAGTATTCCTTTCTTCTTCTATTAATCCTTTCTTTATCTCGTTATCCTTTCTTCCTCTAGTAATCATATCTTTTTCTAGTAGTCCTTTTTTCTTCTAGTAATCCTTTCTTCATCTATTAATCCTTTCTTCTTCTAGTTATCCTTTCTTCATCTAGCATTCCTTTCTTCTTCTAGTAATCCTTTCTTCATCTAGTATTCCTTTCTTCTTCTAGTAATCCTTTCTTCTTCTACTTATCCTTTCTTCTCTGTGTGATATATTCTTCTTCTAGTAATTTTTAATTCTCTCTTTAAATCTTTTTATTCTTTATCTCTATCATTGTCCTTTTCATCTGTGATTTTTTCTTTTGACAATGATTCCAACTATTCATCTTCTTAATATTCATTTTCATTTTTTGCTCTTGTCTTTGCTTGGTATGCTTAGTCACTTCTATATTTTTTACAGTCCTCGTTGTTAATAAAGTTTTTTTTCCAGGCGTTGATATCCCTGTGTGTGGTTGGTCTTACCCTAGGGCAGGGGCAGGTCAATGAGGAGGTCATTGTAACAAATGTTGTGACTGCTCTTCAACCATCTATTGCCCAAGCAGTTGCCGATGCTTTGAGAAACCTTGGAGGAAGTGTCTCTTCTTCCGGGTTTGCAGCTGGTAGCTCTTCAGGATCAGCCCAAGGATTCAACTCATTTGGATCATCTTCTACATCTGCTCAAGGATTCAGCGCAGCTGGAGCATCTGCTTCAAGACCTGGAGGTTCCAACAGACCAGCTGGTGTTGGACCTGCTGGTATTGCTGTTGTAGCTCGCCCTGAATACAATTTTGAGTTTAAGGTTGCTGATGAAGAGGAGCAGACCTTCATCAGCCAGTCAGAGAAGAGGGACGGTGATGATGTCACTGGAACCTACTCCTACGTTGACCCAACAGGATCTTTGATCACTGTCAACTACCAGGCTGGAGCTATGGGATATACCCAGACTGTGGACAAGCAGGAGGGAGCTGTACAGATCAGAGCTCGTCCATCTTACTCGGGAGCAGGAACCGGTGTTGCTACTGGATCCGCCAATAGGAACAGTGCTTTCAGCAGCAACAGTGCTAGCAGTGTTGCCAGCAATGTTAACAACAATATCAACAACTTTTCTAGCACTGCCACCACCTCTTCTGTAGATCAGTCTGTTCTGATTTCTCAAATTATTGCTGCTCTTCAACCCCAGATCTCCCAGGCTGTTAACAGCGCCATCTCTACTCAGTCAAGCTTCTCCAGCTCCTCCAACAGTGCTGCTCAATCCAACCAGGTTGCTCAGATTGACCTGAGAACTGAGGATTTTGTTGCCGGAGACAGACTTACCCCTCTCTTTGGAAACTAAACCAAAAGGATGCAGAAAACTGAGCTTCACTTTGCCAGACCTCTTTCCTAAACCTTTACTCTGAATGGGCACCTGAACCCAGGGCATTGAAATAATTTGATAAACACTTGTTCATTTATTTGTCATCATCGAGTAATATCTATACGAAATACATGTTAGCGATAGACTTGTGTACTATTTACCATTTACTTAGTACAGAGAATACTTTAAAAATAGAATTATGATTTTTTTGATCATAAAAATAGAAAGAGCAAATATGCAGTAAATGCAAAAACCCTATTTTCCAGAAGACTTACCAAACTACTTTTTAGGGGGAAAAATATCCCTTTTCGGATGGGAATAAGATCGCTTTTTACCTACTACATCTAATTTCTGGCTTTACCAATGAATCCCAGACGGGGGGGGGGGACTATTGCTCCCCCTGTGTACGCTATTGTAAACGTTCTGATACTGGGATCTCAAACAAGCTTTTATTCTTTGTTTGTTTTTGCCAAAAACTCAAGTTTTCTAATCCCTATATCTTTGCAACTGTAATGCCTTAGCCCTTTGATTTTTCAAACTATGATTTCTGTAAGAAAAAATAATCTAAGTTTGAAATATAAAATATTTACACTATCAGGTTGGAAAAAAACAGGGATTAGAATATTAAATTTGTGGCAAAGACTCCTTTTTGTATAAAATGAAACAAATCTTGTTAGATCTACACATTTTTAACCAGGAATTGCAGAAGAGAGAAAACTGGATTCCATGACATAGATGGGAGTACAGTGTATTGAATTTTGATGAAAGTAGTATATCATAATTACTGGGAAACTTTTTAGGATTTTTTGTGAACACGTTGCATTCTTTGGATCTGGTATCCTGCCATGAAAAAATAACTTTACTTGTTTTCGTAATTATGAAGTTTAACTATCTTTTAAACTATCAATGACTATGTTGGAAGAAAATAAAAGTTATTGTAAAGTAGTGATAATAAATATTTATGATCCATTCTCGGAATTTCTGTCATCAAATAAACAAGAAAGGCTGGGATAGGACTAGTCGAGCTTTAGTTACTTTTTCTAAAGAACAACATTCGTCTTGAAGGAATTCAGATCTCCTCAAACAGTAAAAAATAAGTGTAAGTGGCTAACCCTGGACCCGGCAAAGTATAAATGAATATTTTCTTACGTGTTATACAATGTTGGTAGATAAATCCAGCCTTCCCATGCTAATCACACACCCTGTTCATATTAAGTTTATCTTAAGAGTGTTTAAAGAAACTATTAAGGTAACATGAAAGGGGGTATAGACTGAATCCTAAAAATTTTAGGATTGGTATCGCAACCAAATTTAGTTATATCTGATGTCCCTGTCTCGAGAAATTGTTATATACTGTGTCAAAGTTATACCAAAACTAATATATATGAGACATGGTATATAAATCAAAGTTTTCAACTGATCATATTCAGCAAATATGGAACAAATCTAAAAAAAATGATAACCCAGAGGTGCCTAAAAATTTTAGGTACACTCCTATTATAATTTGAATAAAATGCTTATTCATTTTTTATAGATATAATTGATAATATAATAGTTACGTCTATATGAATGAGACCAGAATTTCCACAAATGGCCATTCAGTATCTGGTCATGTGGCTCTGTCAGCCATATTCAAATCAAACAGTCCCTTTAAATTTCTCAATTTGAGTTTGCCATTTTCTTTCTCTCACCCTCTATCTTTGAAAACTTCCAGAAGAATCCATGACTTGACCCATTGTCATGTTCCTCCAACAGATAAAAATGCAATATGACGTAAACATTAATAAAGAAATAATTTAGCAATAAAATATTCAAACCTGTAGTATCTGAAAGAGATACATAAACCCAGGTTCATCCAACAATCTTTACTCTATTTCCATCCGCCGCACACAATGGTTGCAACAAAAGTAAGATTTTCATTAATTTCTCTATTTGATACTTTAAAATTGTCATCTACTCATTTTCTCTTGCTGACATCTTGTCCTATAACGCTTTTCTTATTTTCTGCAATCATTATCTCTGTCATAAGTTTAACCACTTACACTCTCTTATTATTTTTAGTTTATTTTTTCTTTACTTGGTTACTCACTCTTTAAATCAAAAGTGATAGAAATATTTTTTTCCAGGCGTTGATATCCCTGTGTGTGGTTGGTCTTACCCTAGGGCAGGGGCATATCAATGAACAGGTCATTGTAACAAATGTTGTGACTGCTCTTCAACCATCTATTGCCCAAGCAGTTGCCAATGCTTTGAGAAACCTTGGAGGAAGTTTCTCTTCTACCGGGTTTGCAGCTGGCAGCTCTTCAGGATCAGCCCAAGGATTCAGCTCATTCGGATCATCTTCTACATCTGCTCAAGGATTCAGCGCAGCTGGAGCATCTGCTTCAAGACCTGGAGGTTCCAACAGACCAGCTGGTGTTGGACCTGCTGGTATTGCTGTTGCAGCTCGCCCTGAATACAATTTTGAGTATAAGGTTGCTGATGAGGAGGAGCAGACCTTCATCAGCCAGTCAGAGAAGAGGGATGGTGATGATGTCACTGGAACCTACTCTTACATTGACCCAACAGGATCTCTTATCACTGTCAAATACCAGGCAGGGGCTATGGGATTCACCCAGAATATAGAAAAGCAGGAGGGAGCTGTTCAGATCAGAGCCCGTTCATCTCATGATGGAGCAGGTACCAGAGTTGCAATTAGAACCACTAGTTCTTCTTTCAATAGAAACAGTATTAGCAGTGAGCCTAGCAATGTTAAGAACAACATCAACAACTTTTCTGGAACTGCCACCACCTCTTCTGTAGATCAGTCTGTTTTGGTTTCTCAAATTATCGCTGCTCTTCAGCCCAGGATTTCCCAGGCTGTCAACAGCGCCATCTCTAGACAGTCAAGCTTCTTCAGCTCCTCCAGTGGCGCTGTTCAGACCAACCCTGCAACTGCTCAGACTGACCAGATTGACCTGATTGACCTGAGAGCTTAGGATATATGAATACATGTTATTGATCAACATTTTGCCATTTAGTTAGAACAGTGTCTCACCATAGAAAATACTTTGAAATAAATTATGATATTTTTGATGTTAGAAAATATTTTACTTAAAAGTTTTACTTAACTTTAAAAATCTTATTAAGAGAATAAGATCACACTTCTTGGAATGAAACTTGAGTTTAAGAGTTAAGAGAATTAGAATAAGATAAGAACCTTTTAGAATGAAAATTGAGTTTAAAAGTAAGAGACAAAAATTATGACAGTATAAGACATGTTTCTTTGAGAATATAGATGAGATATTGGAGAATTCTAATAAAGATAAACACTTTTAAAATAAAAATTAATTGTAAGAGATAAGATCGAGAATAAGATCAATCCTTTTAAAATGAAAATTGAGTTTAGGAGATAAAAGAATGAGATCAAATGTGTATATTTTCTTCAAAATTATCACCCTCCCCCTGAGGTTAGGAATGATATTTTTTAGGGCTTCTCTTTCTTAATTGGGGAAAATAAATGATGGGGGGGGGGGGTTTATGAAAAAGGATGACATAAAAATGACCCTTTGGAAGTCCAAATTTATTATCATTTTCCCTCCCGGGGGTTATAATTCATAAAATGCCACAACTCTGTTAGAAAAAAAGATCATCTGCCCATTCAGAATGAAAATTGAGTTCAGGAGATTAGAAAATAAGATAAACCCTTTTAGAACGAAAACTGAGTTTAAGAGAAACAAATAAAATAAAACCTTTTAGAAAGAAAGTTGAGCTTAAAAGATAAAAGAATAAGATCAACTCTTTTAGAAATAAAATTGAGTTGAAGAGATCAGAAAAAAAGATAAAACATTTCAGCAAAAAAATTGAAAAAATAAGAAAAATGATAAAACTGTAAAGTAAGAAAATTGAATTTAAGAGATAAGAAAATAAGATCAACACTTTAAAAAAAAAATTAAATTTAAAATATAAAAAATAAGAAAAACTCTTTCTAGAATGTATATAGCGAGTATGAATGTAAGAGAATAAGATAATTTCAAAAACTGATTATTTGAAATTGTGGTTTCTCTTTAAAAGTGATTTGGTCATTTCGACTGCAGGACAAGAATGCTGGAACTGACAATCTTAAATGGAATGGAAGTGTAATTGTGACTGACCCTCCATGCTAAGATGGCAATGCTAAATTCACGATGGTACCCTTAAAACATTTATCTAATCAAAATATGTTTTCTGCGATTAAATGCAATTGAATTGAGAAAGTCACTTTTGTAGATAAACCCCAATTGAAAATAAAACAGTTTTCAAAATTATAAATATTCATATCAAACAAAACAAAGGTTTTAAAGCGAATCGGCCATTGCCATCTTTGCAATGAGAATTATGTTAACAGTCCTTTACACCTAGAAAAACGAATATATCTTTCACATTATTTATCAAGTGAAGGTTTCAAGGGTACCATTGTAAACGGACATATCATGGATGGAAACTTGAAATTACAGTAGAAATTTCTGTTTTTTATTAAGTAAAAAAGCTTTCAATTCTTTTTCATTTTCTTCTTTAAAATCAAACAATGAAAAATAGGAAGAAGAACAAGATATGAATGTATATATTTTGAGATTTTCCTCCAGATTACTTTGTAATAAAACCGGGAAAATATGCATTGTATAAACCTGTCTAAAGTATCCGAAAGGGGTATATAAACCCAGGACCATCCAACTATCTTCAATCCATTCTCATCCTCCCCACACAATGGTTGCAACAAGAGTAAGATTTTAATACATATCTCTATTTTAGAATTGATAAATCTTCTCATTTTATCTTTCTTACTTCTCGTCCTTTAACGCTTTTCTTATGCTCTGAAATCCTTTTTTGTGTCTTCTGTTTAGCCACTTACATTCTCTTATTTCCTATTATAGTTTCTTTCTTTATACCTACTTACTTGCTCTTTGTATTAAAAATTATAAAAAGACTTTTCCAGGCGTTGATATCCCTGTGTGTGGTTGGCCTTACCCTAGGGCAGGGGCAGGTCAATGAGGAGGTCATTGTAACAAATGTTGTGACTGCTCTTCAACCATCTATTGCCCAAGCAGTTGCCGATGCTTTGAGAAACCTTGGAGGAAGTTTCTCTTCTACCGGGTTTGCAGCTGGCAGCTCTTCAGGATCAGCCCAAGGATTCAACTCATTTGGATCATCTTCTACATCTGCTCAAGGATTCAGCGCAGCTGGAGCCTCTGCTTCAAGACCTGGAGGTTCCAACGGACAAAGTGATGTTGGACCTGTAGCTCGTCCTGAATACAACTATGAGTTCAAGGTTGCTGATGAGGAGGAGCAGACCTTCATCAGCCAGTCAGAGAAGAGGGACGGTGATGATGTCACTGGAACCTACTCCTACGTAGACCCAGAAGGATCTTTGATCACTGTCAACTACCAGGCTGGAGCTATGGGATTTACCCAGACTGTGGATAAAAAGGAGGGAGCTGTTGACATCAGTGCTCGTCCATCTTACTCTGGAGCAGGTACTGGTGTTGCTACTGGAGCCACCAGCTCTTCATTTAATGCCAACAAGAACAACGGTTTTAACAGCAACAGTGCTTTCAACAGCAACAATGCTTTTAACAGCAACAGTGCCAGCAGTGTGGCCAGCAACAACTTTTCTGCAACCACCTCTTCTGTAGATCAGTCTGTTCTGATTTCTCAAATTATCGCCGCTCTTCAGCCCCAGATTTCCCAGGCTGTTAACAGTGCCATCTCTAGAAAGTCAAGCTTCTCCAGAGGTGCTGTTCAGAACAACCAGGCTTCCGGCCTCAGAGCTAAAAAATTAGCTGGAGACAGGCTTACCCCTCTCTTTGGAAACTAAAACACGAAACCTTGATCTTACCAGACCTCTCCTAAACCTTTCCTTTGCTTTACTTGGAATGAGCTGCACCTGAACTCAGGGCATTGGAATAATTAAATGTAAACTTGTTCATTTATTTGTCATCATTGAATAATATCTTTTTTCAAATACATGTTAGCGATAAATTGAAAAAGCATCTGTATTTACATTTACTGGGTTCAAAACTTTTTTATGGAATTATCAATTTGCAAATTTTCATCCAAAAAATAATTATTAATTCTAATAGATTATTAAGAGATTATTGTATATTATTGAGACGAAATTAGTGATAAATAATTCTCACAGTGTGTTCAATAAGTTGAACACAATGGTAGAATTTCATCAAGTATTTGTTTTCTCCCAATCACGCGGATTCAACATTTTAATTTTTATTTTACAGAACTATGACTCTTAAACCAAATTTGACCTATTAAACATAATTTTTTGCCCTTTCTCTTTTTTTATTTATTTAAGAGGTATTTTTAGATAACTCCGTAAGTTTAAAGATTATGGAATTACAGACCAAAACGGGATTGAATTCAAGTGGAAGAAACCAAATGCATGACGCCCTGGATAATCCATGGTTCAGTGGTTTTTTGTAGGACGGAATATTGGAAAAGTGGAGAAATAGATTAAATGTTGATTCCAAAGGCTTCTTTGTAAGATGGAGGTTGGTTCGGAGAGGTTGGGGAGGATGGAGAGGATGAGAAGTATCCACTCTTGATGTCTGGTCATTAAACTCAATAAGTTTTTGTTTAAAAATAAAGATAAAATAATAAGCTCACTTTTAAAGTAATATGACGAAAAAAGTTTTTTAATAGTAAAATATAAAACTGTATAAGATATAGTTTAATCTATTGATGCCTTGTGTGTTGCTAATAAGGTCAAAAGCAGGAGCGGAAACATTTAATGATGAAGACGACATGCTTCGCTCTCTCATGCCGCGTACAGTTTCCAATTGAAGACGCACAAACTTCAGCTTCTCCTTAAGTTCATCATCACGGTTTCTGTATGGTTCTAAGGATTTCTCCCTCTCCTCCCGATGCTGAAAAATAAGATTCCTTAATAATAATGATAATACAAACAAAATTCAAAATGACAGAAGGTGAACCAAAGTAAATTGTGTTGTATTTTGAAAAAAGGTAAAGGAAAAAATTATTTAAGCATCACATTTCATTTACTTTGTTCAAAATATGTCAACATAAAAAAATCAAAAGATGATGAATGAAAGTCTGAAAATAAGAAATCAAAGAAAAGATTGTAAATGTGTGGTAAAATTTAATCTATAACGAAAACTGAATGAAGTTTGGAATTGAAGACAGGGAACAAAGGAATTAAGTCTTCGCCACAAACTCAAATTTCCTAATCCATATATGATGTAAACCTTTGATATTTCAAACTTGGACTATTTTATCTAGCAGAATTTATAGTTTGAAAAACCAAAGGTAACAAAAGTTAAAAGACTAGAGTTTTTTTTTTTAAATTTGGTGATGGTGATGGACCAAACGAACCTATGTAGAGTAAAAAAGTAGTTCCACATTTATTGAAAATATATTTCAGTCTGGGTGGACCCTCGTCAGTTCTAACGATATAATAACCATCAAAGACTAGAGTTTGTTAGAAGAAATCAGATCAGAAATAAGTTTTTGAAGAATTCAATTTTTGTGTGTCTATTAAGTGGATTACTGGAGGATTCTAGATTTCTTGCTCCAGGATTTAATATCCATTAGACCATGATTGATAGAGCATTGAACCAACCTGAACAATTGTATAAAAACTTCTTTCATTCAACATCTTAAAACTTTAACTGGAACCGTATTTAATGTATTTGAATTTTTCCTTTTACGAAGTACAACAGTATGCATTCAAAATATAACAAACAAATCTAAACTCTAGCAGACGAAATATTCTACGGATTACAGCTTTTCTATTAGACAGCACCACAATAAACCGAAAATACAGCTTTTCTATTAGACATCACCACAATAAACCGAAAATACAGCTTTTCTATTAGACAGCACCACAATAAACCGAAAATACAGCTTTTCTGTTAGACAGCACCACAATAAACCGAAAATACAGCTTTTCTATTAAGCAGCACCACAATAAACCAAAAATAAAGCTTTTATATTAGGCAGCACCACAATAAACTGAAAATAAAGCTTTTCTATTAGGCAGCACCGCAATAAACCAAAAATAATTTACAAAGACATTATTCAAATCGTCACTTAATGCCCACTTTTATTGGAATACCAGCTGTAGTTCTCCCTAAAATTTTGGGATAATTTTAGAGAAATAATAGACACCCCGGTCATTAATTCCTCCTCCCACTCTGCTCACCTTTTCTAGCTCCAAGTTCATCTTGTCCAGCTTCTCCTGGAGCTTGTTCACCTCCTTCTCTATCTTAATCTCGTTGGGGGTCTGCTTGTTCAGCCGAGACTCAAGAAGCCTTGTATTGTCTTCAACAGCCTTAAACAAAAATCATCTTAAAATAACATCCTGACTTATGAAGTTTTCCAAGGGTAAATCTTTCTGCAAGGTTTTTTTTCTGTTCAACCTAGACCGAAATACATTTTCAAAATTATGTGGAATAAAATGCAGGCTGTCAATTTTAATTTGCAGTATAGACTAATATCATTCACAAAATAAATTAAAATTCTTGTTATATCAACTTTTCAATTATTTTAATTCGCCAGGATTATATTTAAACAAGTAAGTTAGTAATAAGAAGTAAGTAAGTAAGTAAGTAAGTAAGTAAGTAATTAAGTCAGTAAGTAAGTAATTAAGTCAGTAAGTAAGTAAGTAAGTAATTGAGTAAGTAAGTAAGTAAGTAAGTAAGTAAGTAATTAAGTCAGTAAGTAAGTAAGTAAGTAAGTAAGTAATTAAGTAAGTAAGTAAGTAAGTAAGTAAGTAAGTAAGTAAGTAACTAATTAGTAAGGTATTAGTGATTATTTCGTCCTTGGAGAGTTAATGAGAAGGTCGGTAAAAATAGGTCATTGTCAAACATGAATCAAAAATAATTAATTGTATTCATTTTAAATCTTTAATTGTTTTGAATATCAAATAATTTAAGTAATTAACACATAATTCCTAATTAAATGAAATTCAAAGTTGTTTAAATAATGTCCATAATTTTGAATTTTTTTTTCATATTATTTTTTTAGGTCTTAATGCACAAACCCCAGGTGGAAGGTTAGCTAAGTTCCAATATTGATGATGTCTAATCTTCATATCAAACTAGCGTGGGAACCAGAAGGCGGAAACGTTATGTGTGTGTTTGTACCAAAAGAGTGTGTGTAAGTAATAACGAACTAAAGGTATATACAGTACATAAGAATCTCGGTATTTATACAGTAAATAAGGAGAGTACATTTGTTCATTGTTAATTGTTTACTTAAAAATAAGTTTAAAATACATGTAGTATATTTTTTATATATTTAAGTCAACACCATACGCCAAATTTTCATGCAAAGAATATAATTTTATAAAGTTTTCAATAAACTACTCGCTATTCAAGCTTAATTAAAATTAACGAATTTTTTCTGCAATTTCCTAAACTGTAGTCATATTGTGTGTCTGTACCAAAAGAGTGCGCGTGTATAATAACGAACTCGTCTGCAAAGCAGTGTGACTGGATTTCTCATGCCAGACCAGCGCCATTTCCCTTAGGTCCACATTTTTTACTACAGTAAGAACCAGAAAACTCTGTGCAGCGTAAACAGACATATTTCACTTAATAAGTGATTTAATATGTTACCAGTAAAACTGTTTGCTTTGTAACAACATCAAATACACTTAATTATATTTCTTTAATGTCGTCTTACTATTTTTAAGTTTTCTGGTTCTTACTGTAAAAATATAAAAATTTTAAGACTTTCTATAGATTCATCTCTAATAGAAGAAATTGTTACACTTCAATGATTTTTTGTTCAACAGAGAATTATTAAGCATAGAGATTATATCTTCATAGAAGAATAATTGGGATAAAGACGATAATAACAGGGATTTTATAAACCAAAGTGATTATTTCTTCATAGAGGTATAATTGTAACAAAGACGACAATTCCAGGGAAGTTTATAAACCATATAGATTATATCTGTACCTAGGAGAAATTGTGATAAAGACGATAATAACAGGGATTTTATAAACCATAGAGATTATATCTGTACATAGGAGAAATTGTGATAAAGACGACAATTATAGGTACGAAGTTAAAAAAAACTTTTGAGATTATATCTGTACAGAGGAGTATTCGGGATAAAGAAGACAATAGCAGGTACGTAATTTATAAACAATAAAGATTATATCTACAAGGGGAATATTTGTAACAAAGACGACAATTCAAGGGAATTCAAGGGAATCTCTTAGAGTCACAAACTGTTCTATCCTTCCCAATCCATTATAAGATAAGAGATGGAAATATTTTTATATGCATAAAACAAATATTTTAACCCAACCAAACCTAATTAGTCTTTTTCCGTACTGTACACGCTTGATATTTGATCGAACCCTGCACGACCATATTTAGGTCTGCTATACCTTCTCTAACTCCTGTTCTTGATATTTGATCGAACCCTGCACGACCATATTTAGGTCTACTATACCTTCTCTAACTCCTGTTCTTGATATTTGATCGAACCCTGCACGACCATATTTAGGTCTACTATACCTTCTCTAACTCCTGTTCTTGTTTCTCCAGAAGCCTGATATTCGCCTGCTCCCCTTTCACTATCCGTCTACAGTCAGATTAAAACATTTTGAAAAATAAAAGCACAAAAAAGAAAAAATCAGAGCACAAAAACAAAATAAAAAACAAACAATATATTTCAAAGCAAGAAGTTTAAAAATGCAGCTATTAATAAAGGGACTGTGAAACCGTAATTTTAAGTACCCTCCATTTAAAAGAGGGGTATTCCATATTTAAATTAAATTTAACCTAAAGTCTGACCGCGTCAACCTTGTTGCACCGGCTAGTCCTATTGGTTGTCTGCTTTATTTACCCAATGTCCGGGTGATACAGTACAAACTGGGACCAGAAAGGTTGACCCGGCTCGGTAAATTCAAATGTACTACGGCTGCCCGTATTGAAACCTTCATCTAATCAATAATATGGAAGATGACGTAGATTAACCGAAAGCGCTTAATTTTGATAATTTCTCCATAATTTCTGAAGCAAGAAACGCGCAAGTCACTTTTGCAGTGAAATCACAAATTAAAATAATTTGTTTTTCGAGAACAAAAACATATTTTAATTCATACTTGATTAGACCGAGCTTTCAAGGGTACCTTAAGAATCGGACGTAGCTTCACCTTTTAATAGAGAAGGACAGCTTAAGATTAGTTTACAATCCCTTTAAAGAGTTAAATAATTGTTTTACTAAAAAAAATTAGCAAAGTTTGCATCTTTAAATATCAATTTTTTTTTTAAAAATAATGATTTTATTAAATTAGAATATTTTTCTCCCTTAGTCTTTTCTCTACTCCGTCTTTACGAAACATCATAACAGGATTCAGACTCTTGATATCTGGGTTAGTATCAGGGTCTAGGATCAGGATCAGGATCAGGATTCAGACTCTTGATATCGGGGTTAGGATCAAGGGTTAGGATCAGGATCAAGATCAGAGGCTACAATTTATGATCATCAACTCACGTCAGTATCATGATCAAGACTCATTTTAAACTCCTTATTGAGGTTGGGAATAATTTGTCTGAAAAAAAGGGTTTTATTTTTTATTTTTTGTCATATTGTTAGGATGTATTAGTATTTTTTTTATTCCGCTAAACCGATTCTGTCCAAATTTTATGTGGGGCCTGGCATGACTCAAAAATGATTTTTCGTAAAAATTTCTAGAAATTCATTGAAAAAATGTAAAATCTGGAGTTTGCATTTCACAAAGATAATATATATATAGATATGCAGGCAGGTAGAAACCTCCTTCCTAAATTGATTGTAGCAGACAACTAATTTTTGAACCTTTGAGAAAAGGTGCAAGGAGAGACATCTATAGCAAATTGATTACTTTCTATATTCCTTTCTCCCCTTGCTGCCTTCTGTAGGAAATACACATTTATGTTATAAAAACATACAGTACGCGTATTGCATCCTGTATAGTTCAAGTGTTGCTATCTGGACCTGTTTGACCAATAAAATTAAATTTCAAGGTAACACAAACATACAGTACGCGTTTTGTTTATGTTATGATCAGATCAGTTGTACTTTGTCCTAGATTCGATGTACTTTTATAGTAATAATTTTTATTTAAATTGCGTTAATATACGTATGCCATTCAGTACAACTTGCACATTTAAACTTTGTCTAGTCAAATTCCTACCTCAGTTTTATTTGCATTGATTAATTTGTTTCATTAAGTACAATATGCAGTATACATTGTTGATACTATAGTACGCATTTAGTGTTATCCCGCATAAACAAAGTGATAAATAAGCAACAATCCAGAGGATAAAATGCCATGCGTACGACAGAGATGGTGCTGTTTGCACCTTTTCTCAAGACCTCTAAATTTATACCTGCCTGCATATCTATATATATTATCTTTGGCATTTCAACAAAAATAAGTTGGAATTAAAAACTATTTTGTTAGTAAAGTAATTACGAATATGAACTAAGGTTGCATAACTTTAATAGTTCTCCAAAAAAATGTACTTTGCCCTTGGAAAATAATATTAACAGAAATGATTTTTTAATATCAAATGCGCCTTTATTTCATATACAAGTTGTTAGGTTGTTCTTTAATGCTAAACGAATCTCCCTGACTGGTATAATTCTCATGTTAAACGGATCTCCCTGACTGGTTTAATTCTCAAGTTAAACGGATCTCCCTGGTTGGTTTAATTCTCATGTTATACGGATCTTCCTGACTGGTTTAATTCTCATGTTAAACGGATCTCCCTGACTGGTATAATTCTCATGTTAAACGGATCTCCCTGGCTAAACAATATAAAAACTCAGTGATCCTGAAATTAATATCGAATTACTTACAGATATCTATTCTGCTGTGATTACCGTTGTTTTTGAGTCAAATAGATGAAATTTAAGTATTTATTTTGAAAGGTAGATAAAAAATTTAATTTCCTTGAATAAGCTTAAAATGGCATGTAGTTCAAAAGCAAAGAGAATAGAAATATATTAGAGTGGAATTTAGCCATCCCTCGGTATGAATTTTGTCAGTCCCTTTCAGCCTGAAATGTTCACAAATTATATGCAGTAGAGTACATTTAATACAGTATGTTCCCTACACGACCATATTTAGGTCTACTATACCTTCTCTAACTCCTGTTCTTGATATTTGATCGAACCCTGCACGACCATATTTAGGTCTTACCCGACCTTGCGTATTTACATAACAATATTATTTTTGAATTTCTACTTTGTCTGTAGTGGTATAGTCACTGTGAATTACTGCCTGAGTCACAATAATCAACTCGATCAACAATGCACTTTAGCGTTAGTATTTTACAACGAATGCAATAGTGATACGCTTCGCGTCCCACTTTCTTGTAATAAAATTTGCCTGTAAAGTTTACTTTGCCTGAAACCGTTTTTTTTTACACATCTATACATAGATTTAGCTTGTCTGTTTGTGTGTATCCAAACGTCAAGACGGCTGAACCGATCGGGCCCAAATTTTGTGACCCCAGGGTAGGTTTATGAAAGGTCAAAATTTTAAAAATTTGTGTTTAAAAGTTTTTATTTTTGTAAAATTTTGAAAATGCGTGAAAAAATATTATGAAATCCGCAAACTTTTTTGTTTTTGTTTTATAATGTACAAAGAGAAGATGCTCAGAGATAAAGTCACAATTAAAAGTTGAAAAAAATGGGCGCGAAGCGCCTAAAAAGCCTAGTTATATAAGAATTAATTACAATTGAATTTCAATGTTCGCAAAAGAATTGATTCATTGCCACACAAATTTTGAATCTCTATATCTTTACAGCCTAATGGTGTGACTCCATAACATTACAAACAAAGATAATTCTATCTAACAGAATTCATAGTTTAAAATATCTAAGGTCTATGAACTTGGGGTGCAAAGATATAAGGATTAGTAAATCTGAGTTTGTGACAAAGACTCAATTCCTTTTTCTGTTTTTATTAAAATATTTTTAATAATTGGTTCCTCAAAAAATAGGACCCAATCGGTTCGGCCGTTTAGCCGTTTTGACACAAAACAAACAATCCATCCTATATATAAAGTACAGTAATCTTTGTTTGTCTGTTAGGAAGTTCGATCATAACTCATGAACCCCTGGACCGATTTGCCTCAAATTTTAAATGGGGAACTTAGAACAACGAGAGAATGTTCTTTCCTTCTTAAGAAATCCCGACAAAGCTGGGTTACACATATATTCATATTTACTTGATTACCCACAAAGAACACGATTTCAAAGGCATGGCAAATAAGAGTTTGATCCGAGTAATCAGTTCCTTTCTATTTATGCAGAAAACTAAACGCTTAACATGCGATTAACCATTGTTTCCACAGATATCGTGTTATCTCTTTTAAACTGTGTCAGTAACTGACAATAATGTTGCGGATTCTTCATGGTTGACGCACTTTTTAGTCTAAACCTGACTTCTTTATTGAAACCGGAAATTCCGGAATTTATTCAAACGAAATCACAAAAATCTTAAAAAATTTATGTTTTTTCTTCACTATTTAACTGAATCTTTAAGTATCAATTTAACAAATTGACTATTTTAAGGGTGAAATTTGTATTATAAAGTATATAGGACGAATTGAGGGTACCGGATACATACTGAGATTTCACTATATACTGCACTAATCAGAGCCACTACTATATACCTGCACAGGGGTAGATATATACATGTATAGATATATAAAAATGTTAATTCAAAATTCATTTGTTTACAATAAAAGGTTCCAGCATTCAGTAAAAATTTTACTTTACCAAAAAGCATTATGTATTCAATAAATGTTAAAGGTGTGAAAATGCTACTTAATCAAGAGATACAGATATAAAGTAGCTTGGGAACCCAGCGCTACCCAGGTTACTAAAAGTTACTCCCGCCGTTTACCCACACTTAAACGATTTTACCGGGAAACTAAGTCGACCCACTCAACTTAGAATCTCAAAAACAAACTATAGAACATTTCCGTGGGTCTCCGAAGTTCTCCAATCAAAGTTTGAGGCAAATCATTCCAGGGATTCTTGACTTTTGATCGGTCAAACAGACAGAAAAACAGAGATTACAACTTTATTTATATAGATATATATAAAGTTGTAATCTCTTTTTTTCTGTCTGGTAAAAAGTGCGGGTAAACGGCGGGAGTAACTATGAGAATGAGTAATCTGGGCAGCGCCGGGTTCCCAAGCTAGTATAAATATATAATCTCCGTTTGTTTGTGCGATCATATCTCAAGAACCCCTGGACCGATTTACATTTCAATTAGGGAACTCGGAAGAACCACGGGATTGTTCTTTAATTGGTTTTGAGATTCTAAGGGAGGTGGGTCCACCTTTACATGGAACGCGTACAGCGGGAGTAACTATATAGGTACCCAAAGTAACTATAAGTACCCGGAGTAACTATAAGTACCCGGAGTAACTATAAGTACCTGGAGTAACTATAAGTACCCGGAGTAACTATAAGTACCCGGAGTAACTATAAGTACTAAGTACCCGGAGTAACTATAAGTACCCGGAGTAACTATAAGTACTTGGAGTAACTATAAGTACCCGGAGTAACTATAAGTACGCGGAGTAACTATAAGTACCTGGAGTAACTGTATAAGTACCCTGGGATACGCGGGGCACTTCAGCTAGTACAGAGCGTCCAATATCATCTAAGATTATCTCCAAGCTTTAACGCCAAAATACACTCATAATACTAGAAAAGACAAGTATTTTCTGGAGGAAAACCTTTATATCAACCTTGTACATTTTTTATAAGTGATTCATTGTTTTTAAATTTTCTTATAAGCCCCTAAAATTCCAATTTTGAGCTATAAACTATATAATTTAATGTGGGGCACCCTGTAGTTAAATAAAACATTTGAACACCTCTACCTCTATATATACAAAGAAGTAATCTATGTTTATCTGTCTGCTTACGTGGTTCATAACTCATTGACCGATTTGCTTCAACTTTTAATTGGGGAACATGTTAGAACAACGTCTTAGTTTAGTTTACAAATTCTAAATTGAATTGGTTGGCTTTTCTTGGGAAAACTCCGGACTAAGCTGGGTTTCCAAGGTAGTATAAATGCGTTCCCCGTGACCGGGGGGAAATTAAGTGTATAATAATTAAAATTCTACAAAATTAATATTATTTATTATATTAGTTTGTAAAAATAAAGTAAATATAATTATTATTATATTAATAATGTGAGAAGTTCTTAACATAACTCATGTAAACAATATTTATGTAGAAACTTCTGCTTATTTTGTGGACTAAGTAAAAATTATGAATGTCCAAATCAACCCCCCCCCCCCCGCCGGCCCCCTATTATTTCGTACGCAGCGTTTTTCTTCAATTCTATTTTTTTAACATTTTTAAAAAAGTTTTTACAAAAATGATTTTTTAGAAATGTTTTTTCATGTTCTGTTGCACTGGAGTCCTGAATTCTTAATAATGTCCTTAATCATGAAACTTGTTTTGGGTGTTTTACTTTTTCAGACGTGGGGGGGGGAGTCTAGAAAAATGTTTTTCATTGACAATTTTTTTTTTAATTATAAGCTTCCCCCCA